CATAGACTGAAAACTTATTCATTCTCCACACACGAGAGCCTTTCCAATTGTGCTACCAGAACAGAAGCAAGACTGGGAGATGTGGCGTACATCCCTAAGTTGTCTCCAAAGCATCCGGGTGCAACGCACATATGTCTCCATCTCACCCGCCACCGTACAAAAGAAAGAATTGCATGCCTACTCAGATGCGTCAACGAAGGTGATAGCAGCCATAGGATACATCAAAGTCTATGGCGGGGAGAGCCACATTTACATCGGTTTCGTCACTGGAAAGGTGAAACTAGCAAAACAACAAGGGTTGTACCAAGGTTGGAACTCTGCGATGCCGTATTGGCCGTAAAACTCACCAACCTGCCAACAAAAATGATAGACCTTGAGCTACACTCCACCACCTTCTACACAAGGTGGTGTTGGGCTGAATCTACAACCAAAGCAGACACTTCTACGTCTATGTAAGCAATAGAGTAGAAAGGATTAAACGATCTTCAAGCCCTGAGCAATGGCAGTATATGCAAACAGATCAGAACCCTGCGAACCAGGCCACACAGTCCATTCTTGCATCACAATTGACCCTGGCTAAAGGGTCCTGAGTTATTGGCTCATCCAGACAGCCTGATGTCACAGAGACCAGAACACTATGAGCTTCTAGATCCAGATCTAGATGCCAATGTTCTACCTCAGGCACCCAGCAAATTGCTCACATAGGACGAGAAAACGATCATCCAGACCATCTGCTTGTCGGCAATAGTCAAGAAGACAGAAAAAACGCCCTCTAACCGTTTCCTAGGACCAACCCACTTCAAACGCTCCTCCAAACGGAGACCCCGCATATTGGGCGTAGCAGTAATCATCTTGTTCACATGTCTTAGCATCCAAGGAACTAACTTTCTAGGAGCCTGCAAGGACTTACAGATTGACGAAGGCATTTGCCCTGACTCAGCAATTGACAAGTACCTAAAGGCCCAAAATTGTGTATGGACATTCAATCCTCACCATGCATCCCACATAGGAGGAGCATGGGAGAGCATGATTGGCGTAGCCCGCAAAATCCTGGACTCTATGTTGACAAAGATACCCACGCTGACACATGAAGTCCTCACTACCCTCATGGCAGAAGTAGCAGCTATCATCAACGCTCGACCTTTGGTTCCAGTTTCTTCTGATCCTGAAAATCCAACTATCCTCACCCCAGCCACCTTGCTAACCCAGAAGACAGGCAACTGGCCAGCACCATTAGGGAACTTTGTTCCCAAAGACATGTATAAACAGCAATGGAGACAAGTTCAACTGCTGGGCAACACCTTCTGGAAGCGCTGGAAGCAAGAATACTTGTCTACCCTTCAGGATCGCCGCAAATGGAAGACCAAAGAGCCTAACCTAGAAGAAGGAGACCTTGTCTTGCTGACAGATGTATCTTGGAACTCTTGGCCCATGGGACTTGTGCACCAAGTTCTACCCAGTTCTGATGGACTAGTTCGCGAAGCCACAAAAGTCAGGTCATGATTCACAGAATCTCGTGAAGAGGCTTTACACCAGACAGATCACCAACTTGGTACTGCTGCTGAGGAAGACCGAACTTGAAGATTGATCCTCGAACTATTCATATTGTGTCTACCTCATGATTGCATTGTTTGATGTTATGCCTTTGTTTATCTCAGTTATAGTTATGCATGTTTTGTATTTACCTCATGATTGCATTGTTTGATGTTATGCCTTTGTTTATCTCAGTTATAGTTATGCATGTTTTGATGCTATGTTTTGCCTATTCTAGTTAATAGTCAGTTAATAGTAAAATTGCATTGTCTGATGCTATGTTTTTGCTTATTCTAGTTAATGGTTAGTTAATAGTGGAAACTATATATTTCCAAGCGGGGAATGTGCTGGACCAGTATATAACCATCTGGTCAGAGTGTAAAGCTAGCTTAGGAAATTGTGTGTAGAGCAAGTAGCATTTTAAGGGTTAAAGTGCTGTCCCCTTAAGGGTAGCCTTCTGGGAAATGTAGTTTAGTTGTTACATGGTTATATCTGTGTTCTAATTGGCCACTGGGAGGGTCTTGTGGTTTATTACCAGATATCTTGTGAGGTGCCAGGTTTTTATTATCCTTCCTTGAATCCTAGCCTCATGGCTAGGCTAGGAGCTCCGTGCAGCATGTAACATTTACGTAGAATGGGGAAATCCATTATTCCTTTACCTACGAGATGGGTCCAGATTACAACCTACATTCTGGAAGAACTTCTGCAATAACTGTGAGCTAATGTCTTGAGAATACCTGGAATAAAATTAATTTTGTATAATCCATCCATTGAGTTTATTCTGAGCCTGTTTCAAGTGGAATCCATCAACCTTCTCTGCATGGGACAGGAAACCAATATTTCTTTATGTCATCAAAGTTCAAGTCATTGTTTAATAATGGATACTTTGGCCACCTAATGAGAAGGAATGACTCACTGGAGAAGGGCTTAATGCTGGGAAAGATTGAGGGCAATAGAAGAATGGGACGACAGAGAATGAGGTGGCTGGATGGAGTCACTGAAGCAGTAGATGGACTCCAGAAGATAGTAGAGGATAGGAAGGCCTGAGGAACATTGTCCATGGGGTCACAATGGGTTGAAACACAACTTCACAACTAACAACAACAACAATTTTATTTCATTATTTTTTCTGTTTATTAGTTTTTATATTGTTATATTCTTTTTATGATCAACAATAAAAATGAAAAAGAACAGCCGTGAATTTATATTGTTTATTTTTTATCTAACCAAGATGAAGAGGTCATCTAGTTTCTTTTCAGTGTTATCACATTTGACCGATACTGGTTGGAAGGCCATTATCACTTAAAGTTTACTAATATGTTATACTGTTGTTCGCTTTTGAACATATATTGACTTTAGAATTTTATATGCAATCAGTCACTGAAATAAACTTTGACTTTGACAAGTCCACTCTTCAGAAGAAAATCTATTCTCATAGTATTCAGAAATGCATTTTCATGCTTGTATGCTTTCCTGTTATGAACTATCAAAACCTGCTAAATAAAGATAGTCAAGCTGGTTCCTAATCCAAATATTGTCCTAACAACAAAAAGCTTCTTATAGGTCAGTGGTGGCGAACCTATGGCACAGGTGCCAGAGGCGGCACACAGAGCCCTCTCTGTGGGCATGTGCGCCGTCACCCCAGTCCTAGGCCTTCAGCTGGGTTTTATAAAACCTTTTCGCTTTAGGCCTCCGCCACCATGTGCAAAAAAAAAAGAGGTTTAATCACTCAGTCAATTTCAACTTCTCACAGGAAAAAAAAACTTGCAAAGTTGGAATTGATTGATTGAACTTTTTAGTCCCACCCAGTCTGCCATTACCACCACAGCCACGCCCAGCCAATGGGCCACACCCACCCGGCACCCGATGATGCATATGGGCTTTGGGTTGCAGTTTCCGCACTCAGTCTCTGCCATCACTTTTATAGGTCAATAGAAGTTGAATCTCAAAGTACTCGTGTTCATAGCTTCTATAATGAAATTGTTGTTCGTTTGCAATGGGTCAAACTTAAATGGGTTTTCTTTACCATCAGTGTTGACACATCAATCTGATTTAGTTGCCAGGCTGTTGTCCTTGGTTTTCCAAACTTGATTCATGTAATCATTGCTGTGCGATATAGGTTTATAATAGTGTGTGCACGTTTTATTACGTATCTTGAGGAAAATAGGAGGCAGAAATATTAGGTATGTTCCCCACATTGAGCTATGGGAGGCAGGATAAAAATATAATGCTAACCCCAAATATCTATGAAGTGCCATCTTACAAGTATCAAGTAGAAAGGGTATGGGGAGCAGTGCAGAAGGATGAATCAGACATCTCCAAACTCTTTTCAACCTTTATGTTTATTGGAGATTCTCAGTCATCCAGGTCATGGTTGACCCAAAGGTGCTTTTTCAGGAGATAACTAGACTTTCTTGGTTGGGGGGGGGGGATTTGATTCTCATCCAAGACGCTTCTTTAGCTCTGACTGGATGGTGGGAATACCCAATCAGAGCTGAAGAAACTTCTTTTTAAAAAAATCTTTTTTATTAATTTTTTTTCATCAACATATGTTAATTTTTCCAATCAACAAGTTGTCTGGAGTTTGCTAAGCTAATACACGTTCAATTCCTAATCCTTCATTCTTTTCTCTAGCCAAGAATAAAATAAATTCCAAATTTGATAGTAGTCCATATCTTCGTCTTTCAGCCTCATAGTCAGTCTGTCCATCTCTGCACATTCCAATATTTTCGTAATTATTTCTTCCTCTGATGGCAATCCTTCATTCTTCCAATATTGTGCAAAAATTATTCCCGCTGCTGTGGTAATATGTAAAATTAAATATAATTTCTGCTTATTAGTCTTTTCAGACATAATGCCTAGTAAAAAAAAATTCAGGTTTAAAATCCACTTGTTCGCCCAATATTTTTTCTAGCCACATACGTATGCTTTTCCAGTAGGCCTTTGCTGAAGAAACTTCGATGAGAAGCAAAACGTCTTCAAAGAAAAACAAGCAAGCCCAATAGCCTCCCGAAAAAGCACCTTTGGGTTTTCGACCTTTACTTTCTGCAAAAATGTTCAAAGACAGGCTCTCTTATTGCAGCTCGGGATATACTCCACAAGGGTAAGGACGACGCCTCTCAGAATTCCCCATCAGCCCAACTGAGAATTGTGGGTACTGGACTCCTAGCTTATCTGCATGGCGCCAAGCTTTAAAGCCGCTGTAGCAGTTTCATTCCTCCGCAAATCCCTCCCTTCCACGTCTTCTTTTTCCCTTTTCCCTGGCTCTATGGCCACTCAACCAAAGAGTACCAATAAGAGAGGCCGGAAGCAGGTGGTCGAGCTGCGCCGGCTACAACCCCTTGACCCTCACTCCCTTTCCCTTTCCTTTCGCCGAGATTTCATTAGCCCCGCCCATCCGAACTCTTCCACGCCTCGTTCCGGGCCTGACCCGTCCGTTTCCCATTGGCTATGCAAAAGAGGGATCGCGGCGAGAACCAATGCGCGGCAGCCACGGCGGGGGATTGCTGAAACATTTGCTCCTCTCCTGGGAGAGGAGCGGCAGAATCGCGGCGACGCGAGCTGTGTCGGAGGTCTTCCGAGCGCAACATGGGCGCGTTGAGCGGAAAGCGATTTTTGCTTGGTAATTGGAAGGTGGGAGGGAGGGAGGGAAGGAGGCGCAGCCTTGGAGAAGAGGCTCCGGATCTGGAGCGCAGTGGAAGCGAGGACGGGTCTGGAGGGTTAATGGTGGGTCGGCGTAAGAAATTCCCCCTCCGATTGTCAGCCTTAAATGGACTGCGTGAGGTTCTCCAGCCTTGGGGCTCTTAGATTTAATTTGCTGCATATCGTTCTAGAATAGCCGGTCCTTAAAGGAGGAGAGCAATCGGGCTGTCTAATTTATAGTCTGAAGAAGCGTTTCGGGGATGCGAGGGATAACTTGGGAAAGAAGTCAAATCGGATTTTTTTTTCTTAAGGCGGCTTATGTGGTTTTTGCGTTTGGTTGCTCCTTGCGAGGTGGGTCCTGCCCTCTCCTCCCCCCCCCCCAGCATGGCTTTTATCACTCAACTGCCTTGCTTTTTATTCACCCAATTTTAGGAAAGCTCGCGTGCCATTGTATTATGTGCTTCTTCTATATAATGTTATTACTGTTCTCCTTATGCTCTGATCTATGCTATACGCTACACAAATAGGAAAGGCCAGGGGTCCTTCCCGTCTCTCCCCGTGCTTTCCCGTTTTGCAGTAGGAATCGCGCTTTATTCAAGAGGGAAAAGACAGTCCAGCCCCACGAGGCATGTTTGAAGGGCGGGTTCGCCACTCTTCTTCGGCGGCTCTCGGGGTGACCCAGGCGCCTGTTTGAGACGTGCAAAATGCTTCCAATCTGAAAGATTGGGAACGAGCTGGGCTGACCCTGCCAGGAATGCTTTTAAGGGCAGTTTCGACTCGGATCGGTTGTTTCGAGTTCACACAGAGCTCTTCCCATTTACAGCGTTTTGCATCCTGCTATTTAGATGCAGGCTGGATGGAAATTGAAGTCTTAGCTTTGTGCCTGCTGCAATGGGTCTCAGGTAGTGCTGTTGTGCTTCTCGCATTAAAATAGAAGGAGATCCTGTTGATCTCCTTCGATCCCCTTGGAATCGTTTGTCTGAGGGCACCAGATCTGGTTAGGGTTGTGGACCTTTTTAGCACTGATAATCAAATAAGAACAGAAGAATGTGAAATAGCCACTCTGAAACAAATCATTTCTCTAGCATGGAGAAGGCAGGATTAGGCAATACAGGTAGTCCTCGACTTACGACTACAGTTGAGTCCAAAACATCTGTTGCTGAAACATTTGTTCAGTGATTCTTTGAAGATGTTTCGCTTCTTATCCAAGAAGCTTCTTCAGCTCTGAAGATTCTTGGATGAGAAGCAAAAAGTCTTCAAAGAAGAAAGTCCAGTTGCCTCTTGAAAAAGCGCCTTGACCCTGATGAATGAGAATCTCCATAGACATTTGTTAAGTGAGTTTTGCCACATTTTACTACTTTTTTTGCCTCAGTTAAGTGAATCACTGCAGTTATTGTTAGTAAGTGAAACTGGCTTCCCATTGATTTTGCTTGTAAGAAAGTTGAAAAAGGGGATCACACTATCCCACAACACTGCAACCATCCTAAATATGAGTCAGTTGCCAAGCATCCGAATTTTGATCATGTGACCGTGGGGATGCTGCAATGATTGTAAGTGTGAAAAACTGTCATAAGTCACTTTTTTCAGTGCTTTTGTAACTTTGAACGGTTACTAAATAAACTGTTGCAAGTCGAGGACTACCTGTGTTTTAGGGTCAGCGGACACATGGAAACTTTGCAAAATGATTGCCATTAGAAAAGTTTGCTTTAGAACAGGGGTGTCAAAGTGCCGGCCCGCGGGCCGGATGCATCATCTGGAAGCCGCACCCACCCCATTGCCGGCAAAACAGGCCCAATATGTTGCACGATGTGACATCGCGAGTTTGACATGTCTGCTTTAGAATGACTATCTTAACACATGAAATGCTCCCTTTTTTTAGCCCACCTGAAGATTGGAGGTATCTGCAGGAACCAGTGCTTTTGTCAAAATGGCAATGCAGGGCTCACATCAGGAGCCCTGCCTCTTTTGTGTGGGCATGTAATGTCATGATGCATGTGTAAAAGGGGCAGAACTTAAGCACAAACCTGGTTTTATCATTTGCCCCCTTACCTCCCAAGGACGCCTCTGCTCAGGGTGCTCCTTATAAGCTCTTTGTAGATAGCCAAGGCAGGAGAAACAGAACTCAGCGCTGTAGGCACCCACACTTGATTTTCATGTTTTTACAGTCTGTATGGGGTCGAGAAATAGTTTTGTAAAATTAGATTGATGCAAGAGATTTGTGCTTCACTTCCAGTATGTTAGCACTTTATTCATTTCAATTAAAAAGCATATTAAAAAAAAACCCTGCTGTGGGTGGGAATGGGATTGATCTCAGGCACCCCGTTGCTTTTCTGCTCCTGCTGTTAAGCATTTTCAGTTGAACAAAGATACTTTCTGTGATGAGAGGTTTTTTTTCCCCCATCATAAGGGAAATTTTTTTTACTGTAGTGCAGTCCCAAACACATATAAATTACTTTTAGGGATGTATAGAATTGTTCCAGTTCCTGAATACAAATTTTGGGCATTTCTAATATATACATACATATATACATTTCCAGGCATTAGATCAGACTTGTAGTTATCTTCATATAAATCAAGTGATTGAGGTATGGATGTTAATTGCATGTTAAAACAAGTGTTGGGTGTAAATTTCCAAGAGCTTCTGGTTTAGGAAGGTGTCTTGCAGAAATAAAAGTGCTTACAATTATATTGAAGGGTATCTGTATCGGAATACTTCAGCTGTGCAGCCAGCTGATGATCAGTCTTCCTAATCGCTTGCAGATTTTTATTCCAGGGACCATCTTCTGTTTATTTGTTAAATTTATTTGCTGAATTTGAAAGGCTCCTCAGTGCTTTCATGTAGATTACGTTACCTTAGAACAGTGATGACGAACCTTTTAGAGAACGAGTGCCCAAAAATTGGCCCTGCCCCCGCTCCACTTCCTGCCCCACCCCAATCCCTCATCCCATCTGCCCACAGGGCAACTCACCGCCTCCAGGGCCTGCCGATCGCCCAGGCAGCCCAGCAGCGCTATGGTGGTCACGCCCTCTGCCCACACCCTGCAGCATCAACTGTGCACGACGGGGGTGTGAGGACAGAGTCTTGTCTACACTGCCTGGCTGCCATGTCCTTGGCTGCACTGCTCCATGTGGGCCATGCTCAGGAGCGACTCTTCTTCAGGGGGGCTGCTGGAGAGGAGGGGGTCACGGGGGAGGCGAGGCTGGGGCAAGGGCACGTGTGCCCACAGAGAGGGCTCCGAGTGCCGCCTCTGGCACGTGTGCCATAGGTTCGCCACCACTGCCTTAGAAGATGGATACATTTTGGGGCTGACTAATTATTGCAAAATAATCTTCAAATAAATGGTTCAGCCAACTGATCAGGGCACATCCTTTCTAAATTAATATTTGGGTATTAAAGACTATGTTTCCAAAAAGAACCTAATGAGGACAAGAGGTTAAACTTGCTTTCTTGATTTCATTACAGAGCCTTTAAAGAACAGCAACATATGGCATATTATCCTAATAAAGTTCAGTTTTCATTCAAATCCCAAAGCGGGATACTTTAGACATACCACCTTAACACAGCAGTAAAAAATATAATAAAACATGCAATTCAACAGCATTACAAAATGTGGTGTAATCTGTTGAAAGCAGAAGAACCACTCCCACATACAGTATAGTATGACCATATGCTGGCCTGTTTCCTTGGGAATGGTTTCATTCAGTCTAATGGGGCTTATTTTCCTATAAATGGATTTAGGAATGAAGCCAAATTCCAAAGGGATCCAACGTGTGCAGGAAGCCCTGATTTAAGTTATATAAAGGATGAAGTCAGAAAGATTTGAACTATTGATTATGAGAGATCAAAGCAAATTTAGAAACTGACAAGATTGGCAGGGCCCATTGACCCAAGCCGGACTGACAGTGCCCACTCAGTTTGCTTATCCACAAAATCAGAGAATTCCTGGATTAAGCAGGAAGAGCATTACCACTAAATAACTTTGTGTATATTCGATATATGTTGCCTGTTGATGAGTAGGCATGTTTTCATGAGAAAAATAGCCTTTTACTTTTTTAATTCAGGCAGCCACACTTGCCTAGAGAGGAAATAGAAGTGCCAGATTAGCAGGAAAAGTTCCAATCCTAAAATCTATTCTGATTTTACTTTTTTTTTTTTTAATCTGTTCCAACTTCACTATATTCCATTAGTATTTTGATCTTACTGGAAGAAGGATGTTCTGATTATAAGTACAGGTCAAAAAAGTCTATAGGGATGTTGGAAGAGTTCTTGTAGTGCCAGAGCTTCTTCCTACTCAAAATGGGATTTCATTGTTGAAATGTTTTGCACACAAATTATTTCTTGTTCTTTTTGGTTTAGCGGACCTGGGTTCTCCGACATTATTTTACCACTAATTTAGCCGTTGTTTTTGAGCCAAAATATATAATACTTGTCGGTAATTATCTGAATCTTGTTCTGTTTGCATCCTAGGTACTGTAAGTTGCACCCTCTTCTTGGCTGTTAACAGCTTGTATTCTTCCAGTGATGATGTTATAGAACTTACACCAACAAATTTCAACAGAGAGGTTATTCAGAGTGATAGTTTATGGCTAGTAGAATTCTATGCACCATGGTACGTATTAACTCGGCTGCCTTGAAAAAAAAATGGTTTTTGTTTGTTCTGTTTGTCACTTTTTCACGTGTACACTTTAGCTATGTTATTTCCGTAACTGGTGTCTTGCATCTCAAAGCAACATTTTTAGCTGGACTGTTCTGGTTGTATTACTCTTACGGTTAAGTGAGATGGTGTGCAGGAATACATGGCTCAGTCTTTCTCATTGCTGTCCTTCGGAGATGTTGGTATTGCAATTCCTGAAATTCACAGTCAACATACAGGCCCAGCATCCCTGAAGAGTTGATGGAGATAAGCCTTAACCATCCTTGTTAAATGCAGATCGGCCTGTGTTAGTTGTGATACCAGTATAAATGCTGCTCCCACGTCTTTCAGTAGATGAAATAAGAGCGTAAATCTTTGTTGAAGGCTAGACAAGTCATAACCGTGGTCTAAACTCCAGTTTATTCTCATGTTTCGGAAGATTTATGTTGTTACAAAAGTATATATGGTCGCCAACTTTGGTTGTTGTTGTTTTTTTGGGAGAAAGGATCTGTACCTTTTGTAGCAAAATGTCACCTGCCAACTGTGAAAATGCTGTGATTGAATTGTATGTGTTGAACTTCAATTAGTTGTATAGAAATGTCAGGTTTTGTTAATTTTTTTTAAAGGGCAAGAGACATGTCTAGCCGTCCATATCTCTTTCAATTTTGTGCAAAGTTACACATGGATGGGAAGTTGTAGCAACAAACATTGGTTCAAAACAGCATGGAATGCTAGAAAAATAAAAATTAGTCAGGGACATCACTTGGAATATAACCACTTGTATGCTGCCTTATACAGTTTTCAGTGTGAGAATTCATATAAAGAATCTTTTTGGTTTGGAATAAATCAAATGTTGGAAGATTATATTTTTATTTTTATCTTCTGAAAGGTGTGGCCATTGCCAAAGATTGACACCAGAATGGAAGAAAGCTGCAACTGCCTTAAAAGTGAGTAGCATATTATAAATAATCTGTATTAGATTTACATCCTACTTGTTCATTCAGGAACTCAAAGGAGTGTACTGGTTCCCTCCTCCAATTTTTCCCATGCAATAAACCTGTAGGATAAGTTGGGCTAAGAAAGCCTAGAGTCACTTTCTGAATTTCCATAAAGGAGGAAGAGATAGTTCAGCCTGAGTTTCCCCTATCCTTAATTGCACCTTACTGTTAAGTTAGAATATTTTTACCTCATGTGCTGTAAAGGAGATTTTTTCTCTCTCTCACACAGATTTCCCCAAGAGTTTCTTCATAACAGAGACCAATCTGCCCTTCTGTTGAAACTCAGATTGTTTACTTTTAGTACCAGAGACAGCAAAAGCAGACCTGATAATGGTAGAGATACAATGTCTCTATCTTCTACTGGTCTTGCTTCCCAGAGCCTTTTGCTTTACTCCTAACATCTTCTCCCAGTTTTATCAGCATTTCTTGGTTTCTCAGGTATTTTATGAGCTGATAGGGTTATTGTTTTCTGAGAGCATAGGAAGGGAAGGAAATGTGTGTGGTGTGTACACATGCATGATTGATTCAGTCTTGATTCTTCTCATTGATCACAAGTCCCTGAAATGTTCTTGTCCAGATTTTTGGAAGTGGCTTGCATTTGCCTTCTTCCTAAGACAGAAGAGAGAGAGAGAGACTAGCCTAAGTGCTTTAATATTGTTTTCAGGTTTTTAGCCTGCAACTGCATAAAATGGAATCCCTCTGTTCATAGTTAATGCTAAGCCATTTCGGTTTGTACATTAAGATGTGATAAAGCCCAGTTTAACTACTGTCTAGCTAAGTGATTCTCAGCCACCGGTAGCACTGTTTCATCTAACTCAACAGCTTCAAAGGGAACGGCAGTTCTGGATCTTTCTCAGGCTACATGAGATAGTAGAAATAAAACTTGGGTTATGTGCAATAAAAGCAGGTATTCCACCCATCCACTAGTACCCTTGTTAGCAGAAGATGGCTGTCATCAAATAAGCATCTTAACAGTCTTAAAAATTAATGACATTGAAAATACAATCTCTAGGATGTCCCTTTTCTTTGATTGAAAAATAAATATGTGGCCTGTTCATCTCTTGAATGTATTTTCTGCCATTCCTTAAAATGGGTGCATTGATGAGGATTGATAAAAATTGGAATTCAAATAACTTCTGAAGGTCGCACACTATCTACTACTGCCGTGGGGAGAACCATGAGGCCTTGTGGGTGCTAGCTTCATTTTTTGAGTTGTTTAAAAAAATTCTCCAGGACTATCTCATTTTATTACATTTTTAAGGATGATGGTGTTTATTTATTATGCCTAATGAAGTCTGTGTGTCAAAAGAGGGCCTATCTATCCTCCTGTATATAAAGTTCAATATAAGATGTTTGACTTGGGCATTACTATAAGCTTTCCACAAAATAATTTCAGAGCCAGTTCTATCCAGGTTGGTTGGAGCAGTGACAGGATTTGGGTCTTCCTCTTTACCACTTCCTATGTTTCCCCTGCTGCGGTGGCAAATGGTTTGCTACTGAGAAGCTGATAGGAAGCTCCCTGCCATAGAAGGGCCTTCAAACCACAGTTCTTCCGTTACACCTTCTGTCCAGGATTGTTATAATTAGCTTGTGCCCTATTGGTTTTTTTATTCTGATTTTGTCTTCTAAAATATATTATTTCAGAGGTATATTGCTTGTTTGCAAATTGGACTAAATCAGGGGTTCTCAACCTTGGCAACTTTAAGACTTGTGGACTTCAACTCCCAGAATTCCTCAGCCAGCTTTGCTTTGCTTTGCTGGCTGAGGAATTCTGGGAGTTGAAGTCCACAAGTTTTAAAGTTGCCAAGGTTGAGAACCCCTGGACTAAATCTTATGGTTGACAGATCAGTATTTTGAAACTGCTGGCAACCCTATTTACGTTATATTTTTTTATCAGAGATTACATACAGCAGATATTTACGTTCTTAAAAGATTTACTGGAAGGGAGCCTGGTAATGCTGGGTTTTTGTTAACAATGAATGGGAAATCAGTGAGCAACACCTTGACTTCCTAATGAGCAGGCATTTGCTGTTGGAGAACTGCCTGAGTAATATTGTCTTGCTCAATTGCAGTCATGGGAAACCACTTAGGATGCTCCCAAAGACAGAGAACATATTTAGTGTAGGCGCATGTCTTCATGACTTTCTTGCATTTAACGGAAGAATCGGGATCAACACATCCTTTATTTTTCAAGCTGAATTATTCTTCTAAGTTCATGAAACTGCTTAGTCAAAGGCAATATTTAAGCCAAAAGCAGCATCTCTCAATGACTGTGTATATGAACTGACATATCCATGGTTTGGGGCTAAAGTCAGCAGATGTGTGAGCAAAACAGACTTTTACCTTGTCTTTGTGGAGGAATTTTTTTTTTTTTTTTTTTTTTTTTTTTTGGTCTTGTTTCTCTAACCTGAAAGCTTTTCTTTTTTCCAGGGTGTTGTGAAAGTTGGGGCAGTTGATGCAGATAAACATCAATCTCTTGGAGGTCAATATGGTGTTAAAGGGTTTCCCACTATCAAGATTTTTGGTGCTAACAAGCACAAAGCAGAAGACTACCAAGGTATTTTTAAAAAAACATTATTTTTGCTGATGTGCATCTTGAATAAAACTGATATTTTTTTTTCTCTTGTTCACAACAAGCCTAGTTTAAGTAGAAAAGACTACCGTAAATGCCAGCGTATAAGGCGACTTCTGCAAGCATTAAAATCGGCGCCAAAGACGGGGGTCGTCTCATGCGCCAAATCGTCTTATACGCCGGAAATACTGGTAGTTTCCGGCGTATAAGACAACGTTCTAGGAATGCGACTGGCGACAAAGATGGGGGTCGTCTTATACGCCGGGTCGCCTTGTACGCCGGCATATACGGTACTATAATATATTGGGTCCTTTTTTGTGACTTGAAATTCCTAAGAATTTCCCGCTTTTATGGCTGCATTACATTTGGTTGAAGAGCTGAGTATTTGCTGTAGAGCAGAAGTGAGGAACCTGCGGTTTTCCAAATGCTGCTGAACTTCAGTTCCCAGCATACCTCACTTCTGGCTGAACTGGGTGGGAGTTGCAGTTCAGAACATCCAGAAGCATACGTTCACCACCACTACCACCCCGTTACAGGGAGCATACTGATTAGTTAAAAACTGGATTTCCAACTCAAGGCTGAAGCCTCCAGTGATTTGTCCTGGTGCAACACCAAAAAGCCACACATTTTTTGCCTCCTTCTATTAAAGGAGCTGAAATGGTGGCTGGCGCTGCTGAAAAGAAAATGTGAACGTTGATATATGTGGAGTTTTCATGATTACATAGCATTCTACCTTTCATTTGTGTCTCAGGAGGCAGGACCAGTGATGCTATTGTTGATTCTGCTTTAAGCGCCGTCCGGTCACTGGTAAAAGATCGTCTTAGTGGCAGAGGTGGAGGATACAGTTCTGGAAAACAGGTACCCTTTTTAGGCTTTGACTCCTGCTCATTGCAAAGATGTTACAGGACGACTAGTAACATTGGCATTGGAGTGATGGCTTTAAGAAGGGCTTATTTTGTGGCAGGAGTGAAAAATTTAGTAAGTCAACTGGCTTGCTCATTTAAATGGGTCACATTTTGCAAAAAAAAAAAAAAGTGAAGCTCTTAGTAGAGGATAGTGACAATTATCAGAATAAAAGGGGTAGACAATGACAGTTGATGGATACAGGATAATAAAGAATTGGAGAGTTAATGAATGGAAAAGAATTTCTTCAGACTTCTGGTGTCTCCATTGTACGGATGCTTTAGAAATCAGGGCTATAAGCATTACAGCAGTGGTTCTCAACCTTTTTAATGCCACGACCCTCAACCGGTCGTAAGTCGAGGACTACTCAACTGGTCGTAAGCCGAGGATTACTCAACTGGTGCAGCACCATTTGCAGAATGGGACTTTTGGTGGGCTCAGCAGGGCAGAGACAGCCTGGACAATTCCTATTGGCTTTGGAAAGCCAATAGAATAAAAGGGAGTAGCGCAGCTAAGGAAAAGGGGGAAAAAAATGCAGACTGCATTGTTTGGCGACCCCCGTGAAATGGTCGTTCGACCCCAGATGGGGTCCCGACCCACAGGTTGAGAACCACTGCATTAGAGAAAGAACAACATCTTCACGTATGAACTTGTGATTTAAGGGTTTGGTGATAAGATAGAATGCGGGAAGAAGGAAAATACAATGTAAGAAGATTAGAAGCCACTTCATAATATTTTTCTTTGTCTTTTTGTTTCTTCTTTCATATTTTGTTGTTTTTATCGTTAAAAATTCTTTATTATTTTTTTATAAAGGAATCATGGCTATAAATAAATTAAAAGAGACTCATAGAAGAAGGCAAGACTTCTAGGCTGCATAGATCTCAGATAGGCAGCCATATCAGTCTTTTATTGGAGGTTTCTAAGAAGAGACTGGACACTTGTCTGAAATGCTATAGGGTCTCCTGCTTGAACACAGGGGTTGGACTGAAAGACCTCCAGGGTCCAAGTCTGTTACTCTTATTTAAATTCCCCATTCTCAGGACAACACATACAGCTGCTGAAACAGAGGAAGTGAAGCTCTACTGATTAGTTCCACTACTAGAGCATCAAGATGTTCCTTGTTGAAAAACTCAATTTGAATAATTGATGGTTGACTTCGCTTTTACATTTTCTATCCTGTACAGACTATGATTTCAAGCAGAGATGGATTATTTTCTTTATAAGTTAAAACATATATAAGTTTCTATCCTAATCTCTCTCTTTTTTTGCTAGAAAGCATATATCCATCAGTTGTAATCAATAATTAGAGTTGAAGTAAAATCTGTAGTACTAAATACCGTTTTATGTTTCTTTAATAGAGCAGTGATGAAAGTGGAAGCTCTGGCAAAAAGGATGTGATTGAACTGACCGATGATAACTTTGATAAGAATGTGTTAGACAGTGACAGTATCTGGCTGGTAGAATTTTATGCTCCATGGTGTGGACATTGCAAAAAGTAAGTGTTCTGGCTGTACAGCATATTTACATAAATACATACTAGGAGAAACCAGTTGTTTGAATAGTAGTTGGGTGCAAGAATATTGATAATGCAATCTACCGATAGGTTAGCCCCATTTGATTCAGTGGAGCTCTCAAATACAGAAATGCAGCTTACGCTTGAAATCTCTGGAGGTACGTGAGCCATATTTAAGCAACCTTGGGTTTTCTTTCTTTTCCTTTGCTTTTAATATGATGCTCCTCTGAACTCGTTACTCTGTTGTCATTTAAGACAAAACTAGTCTTTTGTAAAGCAGGAGTAGGCCTTTCAGGCATCTCAGTTCCTGGAATCTGATCATTGATAATGGTTGTTGGGGCTAATGTAGTCCCAGCTTGTGAAGTCATAAGATCCTTTTGAGGTCTATTTAGCAGTCACTGTGATCCGTTAGCAAAAGTTGTTATCAACCATGTTTTTTAATTAGGTAAGTAGCAATCTGTGGTAATTTTGAATCCAACTATCACCTGAGAATTATCATAATTTAACCATTCTTGTTTTAAAAAAGTGATTTTAATTGTAAGTTGCTGTTGCAATTTATTGCTGTTCTTTTTAAAGGGAAAGCGGCCACATGTAACAATGCATTTCCTTCTACAGTTTGGAGCCAGAGTGGGCATCAGCTGCAACTGAAGTGAAGGAGCAAACAAAGGGAAAAGTTAAACTAGCTGCTGTAGATGCTACCGTACACCAGATGGTAGCCGGTCGGTATGGGGTGAGTATATAGTGCGAGTGGCAAAGCAAATAACACAGAAGAGAGAGTATGTCCCTTTTAAGATGGCAACATTATATTGCATGGAATGTTTTAAGCATTTACATACTGGAGCATTGTTGAATAAATAAATTCCATAATAGGAACTTTTTTATTAAAACATTGGGATAGATACAGTGCATTCAGAAAGTATTCAGATCCCCCGTCATTTTTGTCAATTTTGTTATGCTGCAGCCTGATTCTACAGTTGTTGAAATTCATTTTTTCTCATTAATCTACACTCAATACCCCATAATGACACAGTGAAAACAGAAGTTTAGAAATGTCTAAATTTATTAAAAAGAAAAAAACTGAAATACCCCATTGACGTAAGTATTCAGACCCCTTTGCAACAACAACACTTGAAATTTAGCTTAGGTGCCTTCCATTTCTCTTGAATCGTTGCTGACATGTTTCTACATCTTGATTGGAGTCGACCTGTGGTAAATTAAATTGATTGGACATGATTTAGAAAGCCATACACCTCTCTGTAGAAGGCCTCACAGCTGACAATGCATACTGTAGCAGAGCAAAAGCCGTGAGGTCAAAGACTGCCTGCAGAGCTCAGAGACAGGATTACTGCAAGGCACGGATCTGGGGAAGACTACAATAAAATTGCTGCTGCTGCACTGAAGAGAATCTTGTTCCTCACAGTCTCAGAATCCTCCAGGTGGTTTTTTGCAAACTCCAAATGGGCTTTCATGTGTTTTGCACTGAGGAGAGGTTTCTGTCTAGCCACTCTGCCATAAAGCCCAGAGCAGTGGAGGATTGCAGTGATGGTTGACCTTGTGGAACTCTGTCCCATCTCCACACAGAGATGGAGCTCAGTCAGAATGACCATCGGGTTCTTGGCCATCTCTCTTATTAAGGTCCTTCTTACAGAGCGCAGTGGCTTCCATAATTCTCAAATGGAAGAAGTTTGGCATAACCGGGTCTCTTCCAAGAGCTGATTGCCCAGTCAAACTGAGCAGTCGGGGGAGAAGGGCCTTAGTAAGAGGGGTGACCAAGAACCCGATGGTCACTCTGACTGAGCTCCAAAGATCCTGTGTGGAGACAGGACAGAGTTCCAGAAGGACAACCATCACTGCAGCCCTCCACCAATGTGAGCTTTATGACAGAGTGGCTAGATGGAGGACTCTTCTCAGTGCAAAACACATGAAAGCCCACTTGGAGTTTGTAAAAATGCCCCTGAAGGACTCTCAGACTGTGAGGAACAAGATTCTCTGGTCTAATGAAACCAAGATTCAACTCTTTGGCTTCAATTCTAAACGTTATGTCTGGAGGAAACCAGGCACTGCTCATCACCTGCCCAATATCATCCCAACAGTGAAGCACGGTGGTGGCAACATCATGCTGTGGGGATGTTTTTCAGCAGCAGGGACTGGGAGACTGGTCAAGGTTAAGGGAAAGCTGAATGGAGCAAAGTATCCTCGATGAAAACCTGTCCCATAATGCTCAGGACCTCAGACTGGGCCAAAGGTTCACTTTCCAACATGACAGTGATTCTAGGCACACAACCAAGACAACACAAGAGTTGTTTAGGGACAACTCTGTGAATGTCCTAGAGTGGCCCAGCTAGAGCCCTGACTTGATCCTTATTGAACATTTCTGGAGGGACGTGAAAGTGGCTGTCCACCAACAGTCGCCACTAACCTGACTAAGCTTGCGAGTATTTGCAAGGAAGAATGGGAGAAAATCCCCCAATCGAGGTGTGCAAAGCTTGTCGTGTCATGCCCAAAAAGACTCGAGGCTGTAATTGCTGTCAAAGTTGCTTCAACAAAGTACTGAGTGAAGGGTATGAATACAATGTAATATTTCAGTTTTTTCTTTTTAATAAATTTACAGACATTTTCTAAAATTCTGTTTTCACTTTGTCATTATGGGGTACTATGTGTAGATTAATGAGAAAAGAATGAATTTCAACAACTGTAGAATCGGGCTGCAGCATAAAAAAAATTGACAAAAGTGGAGGTCTGAATACTTTCTGAATGCATGAGAGAGAGAAAGGGAGAAAGAGAGATGTAATGTTTTCTGTAATAGTTTTGTATACCAGCTATTTTAGAGAATTTGGATTGTGCAGACATTCAGTGACCCTAAGCATTATTTTATTTTAATGTTTAGTTCACTGAATACCAAGGTGAATTAACTTTTGTGCTCACTCTGATATGAATTCTTTGATTCTGTGTTTCAGATCCGTGGATTTCCAACAATAAAAATTTTTCAAAAGGGAGAAGAACCTGTTGACTATGATGGTGGAAGGACAAAAACAGATATCATTGCTCGGGCTCTGGACTTGTTTTCAGAGAGTGCACCAGCGCCTGAACTCCTAGAGGTATCCTCATTTTGATCAGGCAGTTACTTCCTATGGAAATCGCAACACAATGTTGCAGTATGGGGTGCCTCTGTCCAGTGAGACACTCATGCAGTCTTTCAAAATACTCCATATTTCATTTCAGACCCTTTATTAGTTATTTTGTATTCACAGAACTCTTAATATTTTCTCCTCTGCAAACCTGTGCAAGGTGGTTACCCCCTCCCCCCACCCCATTAGTCCCATTTTAGCTACATAGCCATCATAATTTGATAACAAAATTTGCTGCTGTTATGCTTTTTATTGATAAAATTAAGGGGATGTTTTGTGTGTGTGTGTGTGTGTGTATACATACATACATACATACATATGTGTGTGTCTTTGGTTATTCAGGTTTTCTCCTGCATCAAATTGGAAATGTCTTGGCGACGTTTCGACAAAGTCCCATTCGTCATCTTCAGGCTGGTGTTTTCAGCTTCATGTTCCTAGAAGCACGAAGCCGAAAACACCAGCCTGAAGATGACGAATGGGACTTCGTCAAAACGTCGCCAAGACACTTCCAATTTGACATGGGAGAAAACCCGAATAACCAAAGACCTATATACAAACACCCGCGAAAACCTCAGAAAATAGATAGATAGATAGATAGATAGATAGATAGATAGATAGATAGATAGATAGATAGATAGATAGATAGTTCAAATTAAAGTTTTATTTGAAAATGAGCAATAAAACTAAACTTGATTTCTTCCTGAATTTATCCCAAACTATCTTAAAATTTTCTTATTGCCTTAATTAAATTCGTGTGGTTGGAAATTTCAAGCCCTTTTTTGAAATGTCTACCCTTATTTCAATTTGAGCTGCGTTGATAGAGTGACTTTTGCTTGCAAAGAGCTTTGGGAGGGAGTGTCCCCTTGAAAGGTCATGAGCAAGAATGGCGTGATCAGTAGACCCTAATTTTAGTAATGTTTCTTGTGAACTTTATGAATTAAGGGAACTTCTAGCATCCTTCTGGCCTTAGCTCAGTAGATCAGAATTGTTTTAAAGTCTTAATGATGTCAGAATACAGGTAGCCCTTGACTTACAACAGTTAATTTAGTGACTATTCAATTTAGTGGCACTGAAAAATGTCATGACCGTTTTCCAAATTACGACTTCTGCAGCATCCCCGTGGTCACATGACCAACATTCAGATGCTTGGCAACTGCCTCATACTTATGACGGTTGCCATATCCCGGGGTCATTTGATCCCCTTATGCAACGTTCTGACAAGCAAAGTCAATGGGGAAGCCAGATTTGCTTAACAACCGGGTTACTAACTTATTAACTGCAGTGATTCACTTGCAGTGTTGCAAGAAAGGTTGTAAAAATGAGGCAAAACTCATTTAACAAATGTCACACTTAACAACAGAAATTTTGGGCACAATTGTTGTCATAAGTCGAGGACTACATGTATAGAGAAATTCCTATTAGGGCAAATAAATTAACCATGTTAAATATATATATATATTGAGCAAGAGACAATCTGGTAGGAGAATTAACTTACATCAGCCAATTTAGTAATTACTCCTTAATTGCTATGAGTTTGAATCTGTAAATCTGTCTCTCCTAGATTATTAATGAAGATGTCTTAAAGCAAACGTGTGATGCTCACCAACTTTGTATCATTTCTGTTTTGCCCCATATACTTGACACAGGTAAGAAGAACAAAACAGTATTTTCCCTTACCTTTGGCTTTTATATTGGCCTCAAACGTGATCTTTCTTTTTTATGATTTCTGTTAAACAGGAGCTGCAGGTAGAAATGCCTACCTGGATGTCATGTTGAAAATGGCAGACAAATACAAAAGGAAGATGTGGGGGTAAGTTATAGATTATAGCAGAAGATGCTTTGGTTTGGGGACAGGGGGGAGGACCAAACTGTGTTCCTATTGAAATGAAAATAGTGACTCCATGACAAAGATGCTACTGGCCAACATAGACTAGCCTACAATGCTTACAAACTTAAGTAGGGGAGGCTTAAGGAAATCAGCTGGTTTTGATCTACTGTCTCCATCCCTTTTGCTCTGCAGCTTGCCACAGAAATTGGGTGATGCCAGGGGACCTGGAACTGTAGTGTTAGAAGTAAAGTCTTCATCCTGGTTCATCCAAGCCGGGAATAAATAAGCAAACATGGCGACTGCTTTGGGAAGAAGGTTACAGTTTATTGAAGAAGCAGAAAGATGGTTCTTCAGGAAAGAGCAGAGGAGAGAAGGGTTTAGCACATGGTGTTGTAGGTTTTTATATCCCCTCTAGCCTTTTGTTTGGAATAGTTTCCTGTTCCTGTGGCATGAACTTTGAGGCTATTTCCTGTGTCACGTATTCTGGCCTGAGTTTTAGGTGTGCCTCTATGGCAGTGTTTCTCAACCTTGACAATTTTAAGGCATGTGGACTTCAACTCCCAGAATTCCACAGCCAGCATTGCTGGCTGTGGAATTCTGGGAGTTGAAGTCCACATGCCTTAAAATTGTCAAGGTTGAGAAACACTGCTCTATGGTATACTTGATGGTAATGGGTTAGTCCTATTATATCCCAAAAGTCATCTGCTTCCCTGGGGCTCAGCTAATGACTCTTAAGAGTTTCTTTGTCTTGAGTTCCCTGGCTCCAACCTTCCTGATGGTTTTACATTTGCATTTGTATGAAGCTAGCTCTTGTTTGGGACAAAGAAATTTGAGGCCAGGTTTGGTTTCTGCTTTTCAAAAAATACTTTTGGTGAAAAATATATTTTCCTTTTTAATATTTCCTTCTTGGGGGGGGGGGGCTAACTTCCCTCAGTAGAGAAATGTGATCTTCTGTGGTTTGCTTTGAGATAAACACCTAGTTTTTTTTATCCAAGGTGGCTGTGGACAGAAGCCGGAGCCCAGTCTAACCTTGAAAACTCTTTGGGTATTGGTGGCTTTGGCTATCCAGCCATGGCAGCCATTAATGCCCGAAAGATGAAATTCGCCCTGCTGAAAGGCTCTTTCAGTGATCAGGGGATTAATGAATTCCTGAGGTAAGGCTTTTTCGTTGGTACCTCAAATCCTATGAATGTTGTGGTGCTTGACGAGTTTCAATGAAAAATAGTGCAGTTGTCAGTCAGAGGGAAAAATAATTGCTTTGTAAGCATGTTAGTTGACTTCCTTTCTGAACACAAAAAGACTGTTTTGCTCAGGGGCGTTCCTGAATCCCATCTTTTTCTACTTTAACTCCTCTCCCATTTTTTTAAAGAAATGACTGAAATCTCATGAAATTTTAACTGGGGGAAGGTGGGCCAGTTACCAGTCTCAGTCAGTACTATTCACTATATAATTCATCACGTCAGGCTTATTTATTTTATATCCCGTCTTTTATTATTTTTATAAACAACTTAAGATGGTGATCATGGCTGCTACTTCTTCCTCCTATTTTTCACAACAACACTGTGAAGTGGGTTGGCTAAGAATGAGTGAGTGGGGCATGGTCACTCACCCAGCCTTCTTTCATGTCTAAGACAGGACTAGAACTCATAATCACCAAGTTTCTAACCTGCTGCCTTAATCATTAGGCCAAACTGGTTCTCAAATGTGAACCACCAGAGAACATTCTAAATGTTCATTCAATTTTTAGGGAACTTTCTGTTGGACGAGGGTCCACAGCACCAGTTGGTGGAGGCGGTTTTGCCAAAATTAACACAGTGGAGCCCTGGGATGGCAAAGATGGTGAGGTAAGAGACTCCATTTTTATCTCTCTGTTCACAGAGAACTTATTTGGACATTTTAGGGTTCAAGCGTTGAAAGTTGGTTCACTATCAAGTCAATCTCTCAATATGAGGTTAGCCTGATAAACCTTCAGTATATACCCTAAAGCTTGTACTCAAAATATCTGTTTAATTAAAACTTTGCTGCTTCTTTTTATTTCTCCTCTTTTCTATCACCCACCTTATCTGTGAGAAGCCATCTTAGTTCTATACTTGGCTCTCTATCTTTGTTCTCTTTTGGATTTTGCTGAAAGTGTTGACGTTTGTTTATCTATCTATTTTCGGCATAATTTTATTTTCTGTATCCTGTTTGAGCTATTCTGGTATGCTTCCTGTGCAGACTATTTTCTTTTTTTCTTTCCTGTCCTGATGCAGGTTGCTCACCAAATGTTCAAGTACTCTTAACATTGTTGCATTAAGGGTTATAAAGAGGAACTTGATAATAATGTCACTCCTACTTTGCTTGTTTATCCAGCTGTTCAGATTACATTAAAGCTTACGTAGATTTTCAACTTTGTTTGCTTAGAATCTGCTGTTGACTTCTACTTTTGTATATGCAATTTCTGCTCCATAGTTCACTGAAGCCACACAAAATGTCAGACCTGGGCTTGTTTCAATCCTAGTTTGCTTAATGAAAAAGAAACAGTCTATCTTGTAGAAAGATAAAATAATAATGCCTTGGCCATTTTTGAGTTAACATTGGTTTACTGTTTGGATGATTTTGCTATACATCTCTGTAGGCATTTAGCAGCTTGAGTGTAGGACACAGAACAAGAATCAAGAAGCCAAAGAGCTGTAAATAAACATGTAGCCCAATTCCCTTATCATGTTAAGCCAACATTTGACTTAGCATGCAGTGTAAACCCAGTTATTTTGATCTTAACCATCAGACAGTAATCATAGCTTTAATTTTTCCGCTGATTTTAAAGAGTTACAATAACAGCAACGAGATTGAATGGTGTTGTGGATGGTGAAACTCCACTTTAATTGCATCACTTATCTGGTAAAAATCTTACCTTCAAAATAAGATGGTGGGTATGTAATTTATATTTTTAAGGGAAGATCAGAAAAGTGAGTTGCCGGTTGTACACAAACTAAAAAAGCATAAGAGGATTTAGGTCTCTTTAGAAATTATCTAATAGTAGCGTTGTTTGCTTTTGAACAGTATTTTCTCAGCATCTTAGGGGGGGTTGAAACTTGTTCTAAGAAGTGTATGGTGATACATGATAAACACCTCATCAATTCACACTCCCATTGTCTCACAGCTCCCAGCTGAAGAGGATATTGATCTCAGCGATATAGATCTTGATGACTGGGATACTCAAAAGGATGAATTGTGAGAGCCTGAAGATAACTTTGTTTCTTGAGAGACATTGGGCTGTGGTTGGATTGGATAGAAGAACGTTTTGCATCACACGGATCTATCTACCAGTGGCCTTTTTTGCCGAGAGAGCAGCGGTTGGAGACATGGTCATCAGTGAACTGAGCATCTCTTAAGAAAAAAATATCTCACAAATTCTATGAATTTTTTTTATTGAGTGAAATTGTATCCGGTGCAACAGATATTTTGAGAACAACATTGATCTTTCATTGAAATACTCTTGATTTTTTGTTTTGGTTTGGTTTTTTTATCTAGCTGGCATGTGGTGGTCAATTGTAACTTGAGACTTTGGTTGTACTTAGTTTTAAAATGTGATTCTTTTTTCTCCTCCCTCGCAGTATAGCTTTCATTTCAATGAAAGAATAAAACAATATTTTTGACTCTGTGTCAGTGTTGTACAGTGTGCAGAGATCTCCTTTTGACTAGATCAGTGCAGTATTTGAAGCCATATTATGATACACGTGTGTGTTCGTATTAAGCCAGTCACTTTTAAAATTCTGCTGTTTTGAACAAACTGTAGTGAAATGTTTCACACAAAACTAAGCTTTATGAACCAGGTCCTCGGATTCTCTCTAAATACTTTCAACTGTTATTTTTCTGTAGAATTGAAAGAAATGTCATGTTTACTGGTAATGTGTGATAGGTTTATCTTGACGCAGTGGGTATCTTTAAGGACTAAAGTTCCTTCATGGTAACTCAAGAAAACTAGTAAGCAATCAGCTAATTCTCATTGTCTCTGACAAATAATGTTCCCAGATAAACCAGAATTATGATTTGAGACTAATTTTAGTATAATATTAAATTGTAAAGTATAATACTCCTATAACAGAAGACGTGATTTCTTTGGAAGGATATAAGAAAAATCCCAAGTATCAGTGTTATATTCTCCTTCCCCAAAAAGCAGTATTTCTCTTTTTTAAAAAAAGGCTCACTTTACTCTAGGGCAGGAGTATCAAACTGCCGGCCCATGGGCCGGATGCATCATAGCGAAACCACACCCACCCCATTGCTGGCAATGGCAAAAAAGTTGAAATACATCACGTCACGTGATGTTACGAGTTTGACACCCCTGCTCTAGGGCCTCCAAGGCTCCAGCATCATTGGAGCTTTTTGTTAGGCTTTACTTTTTTTTTTTTTGTAAACTACCCTTTGAGCAGCATTGAAGGAGGTTTATCTATACTGTAACATTGTCAACCAATGGTGGTGAGAGGAAGTGCTGCCATTTATTCTAATCCACGTTGGACACTTAAAAGACCATAGTACTTTCAACAAACTGGAAAAAAAATGAGATTTCAAATTCTGTATTATGTCTACAGTGAGTCAGTCTTCAGTGGAAGGGAAAGCTGTTTCACTGAAAAAAGGGATTAAAATTTTTTATCTGGATTTCTTACATGCTAAACTGAAGCAACTAGTTAAATTAAAATTAATTTCCCAAACACATTTCCTCCTATTTTAATGTGTAACTGCTGTATTGACTGAATCAATACATTAAACAAATTAGATGTATGACTCCAGGATATTTCTACCTTAAACTACTTTTTAAATTTTTTTAAAACCCTAGACGATCAGGGTTATTTACAATAAATACAATTATAACACAATACCTTGCAAAGCATCTTTTCTAATATAATCAGGAAAAAGCTTCCAGGATCTTTTAACTGTTAAAATGGTAAAAAGCACTTAGTCTGCTTATCATTAAGCCAAATCTAGGAACTACAGTTAACAGGTGCTTAAAATTACTTGCTCTTTCTGCATGGAAAGGGCCACATTCCTATTATATTTGTATTAAAAACAAAACAGCTTGAGTGGGTGACATTTCGTTCACAATCATATCCAACAATACTGAAAAACAAGTCACACTTGGCCCAGCAAACTTTAGCTGGAATCGAGAAGACTGAGGTCAATCTTGAAATAGACATAGGGGTAATAGTCTTGATTGCTTAGCTGCAAGCCAGGAATGTCAACTGAAGTCTGGGAAAAGATTAAAATAAAGTAGGGTGAGGCCCTTCAAACTTATAGATAGGTGCTACAATTTTTACTGAATGTCAGGATACTTAAGAAACATCAATAAGCATAATAGAAGTACTGTGAAATGAAAGACTTCCAACAAGCAGTAAATACAGATGTTAAACTGGAAATTTCCAGACTTAGTGTAACGAAGCTGATTCCTCATTAGAAGTCTAGATCAGGGGTGTCAAACTGTCGGCCCGCAGGCCGGATGCATCATGCCAAAACTGCACCCACCCCATTGCCAGCAATGGAAAAAAAGGTGCAATACGTCGCAACACATCACATGACATTGTGAGTTTGACACTCCTGCTCTAGATCTTCTGAAAACTTCACAGCAGATGTTAACAGGAATAAGGTAAGCCAATTTAAGGATGGAGTAACTGCAGCCCTGGGGTTCCACACATACTGTGTTAGGGAACTATGGCACTTTTATAACCTATAGACGTTAACTCTCAAAATTCCCATGCTGGCTTAAGAATTCTGGGAGTTGAAGTCCACAAATCATAAAGGGGCCATAGTTCCTCACCTCAGCTATAAATGATTGTTACCTTTTATTCAACAGCCTCCTGATTGGGAGGCAGAAGGCGGTGTCAAAAATGAGATGAGGGGAAGGGTCAGAATAGGAGACACTACCCATTTTGTCCTATGCTTCCCGCAGCCCTTGTTTGCCATCTACCTCTTTTGGCGGGCCACCTGCAATGGTATACTTACATCCATTAGGCTGGCTGCTGCTACTTCGTCCAGATGCTTGAAAATTGCATTTAGTACTTCTCTCAACCTCTTCATGGATTTCTTATTAGGCTGAAGTAGCATTGTCTGGAAGTTCACTGGTAATCCATATCTTGAACAAATTCAATGGGTGTTAAACTGGCAGCAGCCGAAAGCAATGCAAGAGATTTTCACATTACCTATCAACTATCCTCATTTTGCTTTTCTTTGTGACTAGGAGTTTTTAGTCTTAAATTGCATCAAAGATTGTTTATTTTCCTTATTAACTCTATCACAACATTTGCCTAATTACAGTTTGTTTATTCCTGGAATGTTGTTAAGATCCACATGTTACCACAAAATATATTTAAAATCAATGAGAAAGTTAAACTGATCAACCGAGATCTGTAATGATTGAACCGAGATTGTGCTTTGCTTTGGGAAAAAATGTATCCTATGAAATTTCATGTTTACCTGAGGACAGATTCTGAAAAAACTCTTAGTGCCTTTATATGGATCCAAGCCACAAATGCTTCACTGAAGTTCACCTTTAACCATCTCAACAGAGGACCCTTTAATGAGTAAAATACAATATCAGTTAATAGAAGAGCTGTAAATGTAATTCTCAAAAGGTTCCAAACTGATGGCCCATTTTTTTGAAAATTTCACAAAATAATATGAAATATGTGAGGAGCAATGTAATCCACTTTCTTAAATTAAACAGAGTCTTAAATTACATTTAGGTATTGTCATGCTCCCATAATACTTAACCAAAATGGCTAATTGTGATCCTTGGCCCCTCCCAGGAAGGATGCAGGTAATATGATTCAGCATCCAGTGATTAAAAAACAACTCCTTGGTAGCAAAAATAGAGTTGACATAGCGGGAATTTGTCATCCAGGCAGAGCTTGTCACATGCATATATGTCCAATCCTATTTTATGGCCTCCAGAACTCGCAGTTGTGCCCCAAAAGTCCACCTCCAGTTCACTGATATTCATTGATGGCATGTTTTCATGGGTTTCGTACAAGTAAGGCCTATGGAGGCTTCAGTTACCCATTCATTCCTTCAAAATTCAAGCCCTCCAAAAATGGATGAAACATACTAGCCAATGACTCAAGTAGTCAAGCCTACAGATCGTGGTGCTACCTCTGGCTGGGAAAAACTTGCAGAAGAGCTAGCCAACCCATCTGAATGGTGTCTGTTGGGTTGCATTCCGTTCACCTTCAAAGGATAATGATTTTCCCAGGCATTTGGGTCAGGAGGTTTATGCAATGTCCATTGCTGTTGTTATGGGGGGGGGGGTAGTACTAGTTGAGAGTGGAGGTCATTGTTTTATCTGTGAGCACTGAAGCTTGTATTTTGTGGGTTGTGTGCTTTTAATCCTTATATACTGCCCAAAGGTATTTATGTAGGATGGATGGCCATATTAATCAAACAAAACTAGGTAATATCCATTCACAGGGAAGACAGTTGAAAGTCCCGTTTTTAGAAAATCAAGAGTACTATTCTGGACTACATCTACTATTATATTAAAACACTGTGTTGATGAGAGAAAACTGCACTGGTTTGTGCCTAATAAGGTTGTGTGTGTTTGTTTGCGTGCATGCGTGCGTGCGTGCATCTGGATGCATGCATGCACCTTTGAATCAGCATTGGCTTTGGCAACTGCCTGGATAAGTCCCTGCAGTTTTCTTGGCAAAGTTTTTAAAAAATGGTTGGCCCTTGCCTCCTTCCTAGAGATGAGAGAGAGTGACAGGCCCAAGGTTACCCAAATGGCTTTGAGCCCCAACCTAGAAGTCACATTCTCCCAGTTTCTTACGTGGTGGATTAACCACTACAGCAAACTAGTTCTCAACCACGCATATGCACATTCCAAAAATTTACAAGTGTAACCAGCCCTGTAAACATAAACTACAAACATAATAGCTGTATTCACAATGTGTTAAATTTGGTTCCTTTTTTCCAGGTTTAGCCTGCGGTGCAAACGTAGGTCACTGATTAATTCATGGGTCAATGAGTCATGCAGATTATGGCAATGGATTAATTCAGCAATCGGGTTAAATGTGTTGTGAACAACACTTTTGGATAATGAATTGTCTTGGCTGTCATCCCAAGAATATGTATAGCATTTCTGGGCAAATCATTAACAGTGAGATCGTCTGGTAACTTGGCAAACAGTCAGCAAGTGGGGCACAGAAGTCAATACGCACAACTTGAAGTTTACTCACATACTGTTGCTTCTTATCAGAAGCTAACTTCCTCATTTCGTCCTTTTCACACTTCAGTTCTTTTTCATCAAAATAAAATTCCCGCACCATGAACCTGAAAAGAAATCAGTGTAGACATTCAGCACCTGGGCTTTTAGAAAGCTGTTCCCTGCCTGGGCTTTTGAACACAAATGCTCTTTTAAACCACAAGGTACACTTTGAAAGCTTAGCTGGGAAAGAAGGTAAGTTTTGGCAGTGTGGGAGTAAGTCACATTAGACTAATTTTCAAAGCTTTCAGGAGCTCTTGTCATCTTTAATAAGCTCGTTTTATTTTCAGCTCCATGAGTCCCTCCCGATGCATCAGACTGGAAAAAGTGACTCATTAGCTGAAGTTATGACGGGTTTCTTATTTTTTCCTATATCCTATCCTTCCTCTCTGAATTTAACAGCCACCCTGGGTGTTTTTGGATGGAGAGCCAGTGGTCAAAATAAGTGATGATTTAGGCTACTGAAGCACCAGTTGAGGTGGTGGTGGGGAAGGGGAAGAAGAATCATCAAAACATTCAAGAGGATAGGCCCAATTGAAGTCTTATCCCTTTATATAGCCATCATGTGTACATGAAAAAGGGGCAAGACTTTGATTTTGTGATAGCCTCCAACACCTTCACTTTTTAGAGGCCTTCCCAATGGACACCTCATTAGGCCACAATCCAAAACATTTGTATAAGAATAACTTGCAAGTTCAAGCTGGCACTCATACACTTCCATGATGTGCCTAAACAGAGTATATCTTCCAAGGATACCAAGTAGAGCTCAACTTAGGATTGCAATGGAGACTTCCCATCATGGTTGTAAGTCGTGATGGTCGTAAAACAGGTCACCCACTTCTCACAGCAATTGTTAAGCAAACACCATGGCTGTTAAGTGAACTAATGGCTTGCTATGGATAAAACACTCTCATGTGACCAGACGCCACAAACATCCATAAATGCAGGCTGGCTGCCAGGCACCTGACATGCAGTCACATGACTTGGGAGGTGGCTGTCAGAACTTCAGAACTGGGTAACACGTATTCTCAGGGAAATCCATCGTAACTTTGACCAGTCACTAAGCAACCGTTTATAAGTTGAGGACCACCTATAATCAAAGCCTAGCCCAGAGGGGGAATCTCATACAGTACATAGAAGATACTACCAAGAGAGCTCGTCTCTTGCTTAGCATTATGTGGAAACCTACAAGTGGTGGTGTTATTGGCAAAATGATTGTAAATATTATGATTCAACAAAACGGGTTGTTTCAGGTAACCGAGTCCTCAAATTGTTCAAGGGTTAGGATTGTTTAAGCTTTAATATGTAAGCATCAAACATTTGAAAATGATCAGATTGATTAAAAAGCCATGGTATTTAAGACTGCCTTACTTGTCATCCATTCCTCAGTATTGTTCCGTGAACGTACTTGGCTAAACTGGATATTTTAAAATGATCTTCCTCTCTTTTCTATCTCTTCGGGGTTGACCTAGTCCTAGATAGTCATGTATGAAAATATCCTTAAACAAGTTTAAAATCTGGTTAAAACATAGCTGAATGGTGTGTGTCCTTAACGTAAGCTAAACAGAAGTCCATTCATATAATAGACTTTCCCCACTACATCCTGGAGATTCATGGAAGGCAGAGAAGAATTGGCTGCCTGGTCTTCCTGTTCTGCTGATGCAAACAGACCCACCCCTGGATCCAGCCATGTGCAAATTATTCAAAGAGCTCTGATGAATAACTACATGGACGTGTCTAGTTTCACTTCAGTACTGGGGAAAGAGCCTGAACTATTTTGCTTTTCTGGCATAGAAGTAGAAAGAAAACAGTACTTGTTCTCTCTGGCTTTGGTCTTAAAGTCATCAATCACTTTTCGGAACAGGGTGACTGTGAAGAGCCCTCCTTCAGCGTCTTCAGCGATCATCCTGGAAGAATCAAAAACATTGCTCCAGTTATTCTAAAACTTATCCTGCCTTTCCTTGATAGGGTGCCAAAGCAATTAACGATAAGTGTGTAATTGTGATTGTTAATTATTATTATAACCTGTCGTAATTGGTAATTGTCAGATTCAATTACTTCCTCAGCAGTTTCTTAATCCACACAATAATACTGTGATACTGTATACTCTATTGTTACATAGATTTTTTTAGCTTCCATTTTGCCACTACCACCAAGTTCATGTGATTAACAGAAGACACTGAGTTCTTCAGAAAACAATTGAACCCACTTTCCAAAAATTGCTACCTACATTCCTCTTACGGTGCCCCTTTCCTTTCCTTTCCTTTCCTTTCCTTTCCTTTCCTTTCCTTTCCTTTCCTTTCCTTTCCTTGGCAATAAAAAGCAATCTTGTTATATAAGAAGAAATATCAAAAAGGAAAACTCAGCAGCTTTAAATCAACCTCCCCCAGCATCCTTTAAAATTTTATGCAATAAGACAGTATTAATATTTAATACTTTTTAAAAATAAAAACAAGAGATATTTCTTATCACAATTTGCCACAATCCAAATTCTTTCTTTTTCAAAATTCCTAGTAGAAGAGGAGACTCAGCCATGTCTAATCCTATTTAAGTTCCTTCAAGGACCCCCTGCAATGTTCATATTCCAGAATATCCAAATCAGAAGCATGCCAATTCGGGAAAAAATTTCAAGCAAAGCATTTCCAAATCAGAATATGACAATACTAGGAGGATAGGGAAGTAGTACATGAGGGGAAACGGAGAGATCATTCAGAAAAATAATAATTTATTAAACTTGCATGCCACCTGACTCCCAACAATTCTTAGCATAAGGTTGAAATCTGTTAGAGAAACAAGGCAATCCAAAAGTTGTACTTACTTCGTAGAGCGAGGAACCACCATATCCGAGAGTGATTCATATGTTTTTTGCCATTGCACATAGCCTGATCTACAACAAGACAAATGTTGTACAGTATCTCTATATAAAGGGCTACTTTAAGCATAATGATTGTCAATTCTCTTTACAGAAATTCAGAAAATCTTAATGCTAAGTTGATAAGTGGAGGGGAGGGGGGAAAGCACCACAAGAAAATTGACCCTGTGTGACAAGGATGTTCAATTTCCATCAGCTTGAGCCTCTAGGCAGCATCTTCTGTGCCAAATTCTGAAAGTGGCTAAAACTGTGCTATTCTCTGCAAGGCACTCCTTTTACCCTTTAACCAAAACTTTTTAAAAAAGAAGAACTGAAATTTTAAGCTCCACTCAATCTCCATTGGGAGAGCGTTGGGCTTCCTGAGCTGGAAGACACAAGTTACCCGATCCCCATTCCATTTTTTTCTAAGGGTTAGCAGGCTTCCAGTGTAAACAGCTAGGGTTAAGACCCTTGAATTGTCTTCCCGAGTGAGCTGACAAAAGTGGATTCAAGCATGGTGCTGGGCCTAAGACTTGAGAGGTGAGCATTCAGAGTTCATATTGAAGTTTCCATTTTCGGGAAACTTTTTAGGCTCATTGCAATTAGAATCCATTCTAACATATAGGCAATCCTCTACATCAGTGTTTCTCAACCTTGACAATTTTAAGGCATGTGGACTTCAACTCCCAGAATTCCACAGCCAGCAGTGCTGGCTGTGGAATTCTGGGAATTGAAGTCCACATGCCTTAAAATTGTCAAGGTTGAGAAACACTGCTCTACATATAAGCGTACTGGAGCCCGCCATTTAGGGTCGTATATACTGTGATACGTTGTAAAATTATGCCTGTTTTTCAGTGGTCGTCAAGCAAAGGCGGCAGTCGTAAAGCGAACACTGCGGTCATTAAGCGAACCAAAGTTTGGTTTTGCACAACTTTGCCAGAAACTGGAAGTTGTCAGGTTTTGATAAAATGTGGCCTTGTGACTGCGGGACATCGCAAATAGCTGTAAATGCAACTGTGTCTCAGAGTGCCCAAAGTTCAATCACATAACTGTGGAGGGAGGCTGACCATCAGAACTTTGAATTCCCTTTTTTGGGGTAAATCATAACTGGAGGGGCTACTTGGATATCGAATCTTGTCTACAAGGATTCCATGATGCTCTTCTTTCCCTCGTTCACCTCCCCTTCTCTATATCTATCTGAAGCAACTACTAATACGGTAACGGAGAGGAGCTGAGGAATTGTTGATAAATACCAAGCTCTATTTCTATGGGTTTTACTTCTGAGTAAGCCTAAACAAAAGATGTTCTGTGTGTGCCAGCATCCTTGGATTTATTTTACAAAGAAAAAAACAGCATCTACAGTTTCGAAAAATAAAGAAATCCTCACTGCCCCGTAGTACAGGTAGTCCTCGACGTATGTCCACAATGGAGCCCAATATTTCTGTTGCTAAGTGAGACATTCATTAAGTGAATTTTGCCTCGTTAACAACTTTTCTTGGCACAGTTGCTCAGTGAATCACTGCAGTTGTTAAATTAGTAACACGGTTATTAAGTGAATCTGGTTTTCCCCATTGACTTTGCTTGTCGCAAAAGTTGATCACCTGACCCCGGGACACAGCAACCATCATAAATATAAGTCGGCTGCCAAGTGTCTGAATTTTGATCCCGTGACCATGAGGATGCCACAGTGGTCGTAAGTGTGAAAAACAGTCCTAGGTCACTTTTTTTCAGTGCCGTTGTGACTTCAATCACTAAACAAACAGTTGTAAGTCAAGGACTACCTGTATTCTGAATCTGTCATATGGAGTGCTCCTATTTACAGTGCAGATAAACTTCACTTCACAATCACAACTGGGACCAGCAACTACATTACTAAGCGATGCAGTCATTAAGCGAGACATGTGACTGCAACAGACTTACAACCTCACTTCTGTCTGCCATGGTTGTTATGATTGTTAAGTGAGACCCCCAAGTGACCACAACTTGCAATTTTACCGCCGGTTTCTTCTTAATCAGCTCTGCTTCTCGGAAGCCAGTTAGGAAGCATGCCAATGGTGATTGTCTGACTATGGGATGCTGCAATGGCCATAAATTTCTGCATGGCTGGCTGGGGAATTCTAGGAGTTGAAGTCCACAGGTCTTAAAGTTGCCAAGGTTGGGGACCCCTGATGTAGCTGCAGAAATGGCTGCAATGGTTGCAAGGGCAAGGAGCCGATCATAAAATTACATTTTCAGTGCCAAAATGACTTCAAATGGTCACTAACAAGGCAGTCATTATGCAAAGAATACCCGTAGATACATTCCCAGTGTGAATTTGAGCAGAACGGAGCTGAGGAACTTACGATAGGCAATAAAGCCTCTGGCTCCAACCTTGCCCTTTTCCATTAACTCTTTGGTTAGTAGAGGACTTTCTATCAATTCATTTCACCAAAATTTTCCTGGCAAAACTGCCATCCCGTATACAGAGATTTTTCTCTAAAACACTATGTAAACCTTGAGCGTTACAATTAAACCCATCCATAGGAAAGCCCACGTTTTCTTACTTAGGAACTACAACAAGGAGAGTGATGAGATATTCGGAGTTCAACACAAAGTCTTCCTTGTTCACTATATCGGTTAATGTTCGGGTCAAAAGATTTCCTCTGGGGGGGAAAAAAGGGAGAAAGGATCAGTACAGAATTACCACACCATTTATACTTTCTAAATGTTAAAGAAATGCTTAATTGGATGACTAGAAAGAAAATGTTTTCAGGGAATGTTTGGACAAACTTAAAGCAAATTCAGCCGTTATACTGTATAGTAAGCTTAGAGGAACTAGGCACTTTTTAAATTTTATTTAAACAGATTAATTAATTAATGCAGATCCACTAAAGAGCTGACTAGAGAGCCAATTTGATGTAATAATTAAGGTTCTAGGCTAGAAATTGGGAGATCGTGAATTTTAGTCCCAGCTTAGGCATGAAACCATATTAGGCCAATCACTCTCTCTTAGCCCTAGGAAGCAAGCAATGGCAACTTGCTGACTTGTCCAGAAGTGACTAGAAATCATCAATATTGACTCAAAAGCATCAAAACCCACTCCCTGATTAAGGCCATGGTACTTGTCTGTATTACTATATTCCAGTGCAGCTAACAGGTTAAGACGTTGTCATAGGAAGTCAGTATTTGCCATGGCCTCCTCGGAGCCAGGTCTGAGGAGGAGGAGATGGAGATGGAGATGGGACCCACGGAGGGAGATGGCGCTGCTTCTCTGGCCCAGGAGGAACGACCGGAAGAGGTGGAAGAGGCGGTCCCAGATCCTTCGGAAGGGTCACCAGGGAAGAAGAGAGGACACAGGATGACCGAGCAAGGGGGGAGGAAAGGGCAGGCAGTAGAGCAAAGGAGCGACGGAGCTCCAGAGACGAGCAACTGCCTCTCCTGCCCAATCCCTGAGCACAACTACTCGGCCCGACTACTCAGAAGGAGGGCGCCCCACCCCTCTTGACAAGGCTCACCAGAGGAATAGGATTTAAAGAGACGCCTTGGGGAGCAACTTTTGTCGGGAACAAGCGTGGCATTTTTCTAGCCACACTTGCTGTTACCAACATCTTGCTACCTTGCCTTGCCTTGCCTTGCCTGGCCCTGGCCCTGGCCCTGGGCCCTGGCCCTGGCCCTGGCCCTGGTCCTTGCTGGACTTCGAAGTGACACAGCTCTGCGACACCCAGTGACCAAGCTTCCTGAACTGTGCTGCTCCCCTGGACTTCTAGTAACCAGGAACTATTGGAGAAGGGTGTGTGTGCATTTAGAACTTGCTCTTGGACTTGTAGTGAATGGTGGGAATTTTGAGGGAAAGTTGGAGCAATAAAAGGGAGTTAACCTTTTACTTTGGCTGTGTCGCCAGTGCCCAGCCCCAGGTCATAACAGTATCCCAATGTATACAGAAAACGCATTAAAACTTATCTAAACACATACATCGTTTTTCTTTCCAGATTCTGAAGATTTCCTTTGATGTTGTTGTAGACAGCTGCTCGGCTTTTCATGTCTGCTTCAATTTGTGTAATTTGCTAAACATAAAAAGGAAATCCAGCTGAGCAATAGGAACTCTGCATCCATTTTAAAGTTGAGCGTTTTAATAATTCCATACATGCAAAAGTCTACAAAGAATATAGATTCTATTGTTAGACTTACCAAAGGGCCAAAACTAAACTTAGTTTCCATTTTACGGTAGTTGCAATTTAAATACCTACATCTGTCTTTCTCTCTTAACACCAGCTGGAGGGAGAAGGGAAGGAGGAAATTGATTTATCCTTGCTCTGTTATGGTCTTGAAGAAAATCCTTCCTTGTACCAGGGTGAAACCCCTCATTAAACGCACACTTGTAATTCAGATTTACAGATACAGAAATAAATGCTCTGCTGAAAACTGCTGTGTGACAGACTTGTGACTGCTTCTAAGACAGACTTAAATATATACATTTAGAGTTATAAGCTAAATGGTCTCCTTAAGTCACAGGAGATACTTCTTAAGACAACATAGATACTAAATGTTTATTTTTTTTTCTTTTCTTCTCAGACAAGAATATCTTTGTGGGGAGAAAGATGAGGAAGAAGATATTTTCCATAATGCTAGAATTTGACAGTGTGGGAAAAGGCCCTAGTTTGCCTTGTGATAAATTTCAAAGCAAATCAGTACCCATCATTTCCAGAACTGGTTTCCTAAGGAAGCTGTCCTAAGTAATTAAATGCACTTAATTAACTGCATTTTATTATCATTTCCGAGAAATAGCTCTTATAAGGTGCTTCTCAGCATAGGAGAAAGGAGGAAAAACGATGATTACCTTTGCTAATCCTTCTGAAATGTTCTTCAGTGGCTGTTTTATTGGATACTTGGCCATGTCCCATTCAAACTTTGTCAGGTAACTAATCAGGTCAACTGAAACAATAAAAATAAATCCAGTGAACTGCATGCGTATAAGAATTATTCTGAGAATAAAGTATTCTTTTTGCACGAAAACCTGCATTCAGATTAGCTTGCATTTAGGATATGGCTTGGATAAGGATTGCCATTTTATATTTATTCCCTTTTCTAGATACTAATCCAGATCTGAAGGCCCACCATGCCAATTGTTTACAATTTAAAAATATTCACCCAATTAATTTCATGAAGAGGAATATATTCATCTTAGTTCTCATCTTGTCAATATAGTTAGCAAATAAGAGAATAAAGACTGTGATTAAAAGTAATAAGGTTTAATTTAGGGCAGGGTTAGAGAATCCATGGCCCACATAATGTGTCACTGAATCAAAATGCTTCACAGCTAACAACCAGCAAGAACTGGAGTCCCGAAAGATATAGTTCATATTGGCTGGGGAACCATAAAAACCCCTAACTTATTTTATATATTTTAAAAAACTGCTTTTGTAGTTTTAGTTCTCTCCTTTTTGTGGCTGGCTTTTTAAGTCAGTTTGGTCTAGCGCAGAGATAGGCAACCTTGGCTCTTTTATGACTTGTGGACTTCAACTCGCAGAATTCCTGAGTTCTGGGAGTTGAAGTCCACAAGTCATAAAAGAGCCAAGGTTGCCTACACCTGGTCTAGTGGCTAAGGCACCATGCTAGAAACCAGGAGATTGGGAGTTCTAGTCCCACCTTAGGCCTGAAAAATCAGCTGGGTGACTTGAAGTCAATTACTCTCCCTCAGCCAAACCCATGTCGCAGTATTGTTGTTGTGGAGGAAATAAGAGGAAGAAGATATGTTGGACATGCTCACTGCCTTGAGGTATTTGTAAAAATAATAAAGGCAGGATACAAACAAACATATAAAATCTTTATATTGGTAGGGGACTGCTTTCTTTTATAAACTTATTATCAGATTTGGGGCTTATTTCTAGAGGGATAAAAAAAATGACACGTACAGAGACCATCTAACATACTCAGAGTGTGCAAAATCTCACGTAAATTTCACTTCTGTCAAAAAATCTACCAACCTACATTACTCTGCATGAACATAAAAGCTGCTTGAAATGAGATATCCGCAGATTTTCCTGTTCGTTACAGGAGAAAAGTCCCTCTGCTTGACTTTGCTATAGCTCTTCAGTGCAGATGGAGCTTTTTAAATGTTAATTGGATTAGTATTTCAATAAGGACCAAATTCATGACTATTAACGGGTGCATAAAGGGCATTTTGCTAGGCAGTGGGAGAAACCAGAACTAAAGGAATGCATGAAGGATTGGATCCTGAATTGTATGCTTTAATGCTGGGATCCCCACTGCAGTCCTCCTTGTACCACCCAAAAGCTTTCAAGTGACCTTTGCTATGATATCAAAAGTAGCGTGGAGATAAAGCAGGGGAGTAAAATAATCAAGGGGGGGGGGAACCTAATGCAGGGCAAAATACTTTTTTAAAGCCATGTTTTAAATAATATATGTGTGCAGGAACAAACAAACACACACAAACATCTGGAGCTGGAAAAAAAAACAGAAGAAAGAACATTCAAGGATGTTTCTAGACACCCCAGCAACTTTGTGTAGTTTTTAATGAGGCCTTAATAACACACAAAAAGAAGGAATTCTTAAGTGAAACCTTCTTCACTTAGAGACCCCCTTTGTTGGGAGAGACTATGTGTCCAAGAAACTTATGGGGCTCAACACTCACAATGCAAATCCAGATGCTCTAAAGAAATAAATGATTGACTGGTACGTAAGCAGGTGTGGTGACCTCTGCCTTAGTGGACAGTGTGTCTCTTTCAAATGCCTATAGCAATCCCCTTCCTTTGGGGTATCAGACTGGCTCCATCTTGGTATCTCAAAGTCCTTCTCTAGAGTGTTGCTTCTCCTAGAAAGAGTCATCTTACCTGCTTATATTTCCTGGGTGTGGAAAATCTAATGCGCACAGCAAGAATTTAGGACTTGGAGATCTGAAATCAACAGGCTTCATCTTCTATAAAATATGTATGAGACAGCTCAATAGGGACATTCAAGAAGCAAATGGACTCCTTCCAAAAATGTTTGTAAAATTCCTAAGTGCACCCTGAGTGCGCATGATGCTAACTAACTGGACCTTTCCTTTCTCTTCAACTGGGGGTGTCCAACCTTGACAATTTTAAGACTTGTAGACTTCAATTCCCAGAATTCCCCAGCCAGAATTCCTGGCTGAGGAATTCTGGGAGTTGAAGTCCACAGGTCTTAAAGTTGCCAAGATTTGATACTCCTGCCTTAAGCCTTTCTGTCTCCTTCCTGAAAGGAAAGGAAATGGATTTTAAACAGAAATATTCCACCGTGCCACACTTTATTGTAGTTCTCACATATTCTTCTGTACTCATTTCTTTTGAATAAACCCTGAATGCAAATAATCCATTACAGAACTATAACTTGTGATTGTCATTTTAAGTGCACAGAGAGTGCTTTGCTCACAAGGCCTGCCCCATTCATTTCAACAGAACTCTCTGAGGTGAGTTAGGCTGAGAAAGAGTGACTGGACCAAGGTCACTCAGCTGGCTTTCGTAGCTAAGGCAGGATTGGAACTCATGGTCTCCCTTATATTATGGATTAAAATATATAAGTGGGTTTAGTGTTGTTGTTGTTTGAAAAAGCACTAGTCCTATATTGCAGAGAAGGAGTCGGGTTCTGCCAACAATGTGCTCTTATGGTCTGTCACCAGTAAAAGCTTTCCATTGCTGCTGCTGACAAGAATTATTATCCCCACTGGGCAATGCTCCCAGATCACTTTGTGTAGCTTCACTTCTTGTGACCCTTTGCACACCACATCATAGATACATATATCCCCCTTGGTAGGAGAGGAAAGGATAGTTTGTCCCCTTTATTTTGGCTTTGACAGCAGTAGGTGCCATAATGATATATGTTGTGGTTATGTGTAGACCATCCAGAATTGTGTGATTCAGGAGGTCAGTTTGTCACACACATGTACTGCATGGTTGTCTTTTGATTACTGCCAGTTGCTTAAAATGGAAAGTCACTTACTGACAGCATCAGAGCTCCTTTCTGTTTCACCTGTTGCTTGTCTTCCACACTTGTGGATCCAAGCTACTTTGGAACACGGGTTTAGCACTTTTTCAGGACACCCTACACATGTTCAGAAATGATCTGACTGACAAATTCAAATGATCCAAGGAGCTTTGGCAGTGGTCCCTTCCACTTCTTCCCATGTCCCGATCTCCATGTCCATAATCCCCAGCTTATAACCATTTGTTTAATAAGAGTCCAGAAGTACAATGGCCTTGGAAATGGTGCTTTACGGTCCATAAAGCACTTCCAACCATCACAAAATGTTGCACCATCCCCACAGTGACATGATCATGATCTGGGTGCTTGGCAATCTGTCTCCACTTACAACAGTTGCCAAGAGCCTGCAACCATGTGATCACCATTTGAAGTCTGCTCTATTGGCTTCCCCAGAAAGTCACTGAGGAAGCTGGCAGGGAAGGTTGCAAGCTGCTGCTGCTGCCTGCCGAGAGAACAGCTTTTCACCTCTGGGGGTGGCTGTAAGAATTGCCTGCCAAGGGGAGCTAAACTCCTTCAGCAGAGTGCAGAAATGGAGCTGAAATCCTTAAGATTTCATCTTTTTCTGCATCCCACTGAAGGAGTTTCCTTCTGTGCATGGAGGGAAGCTGAAATCCTCCAGCAGGCAGCTCTTTCAGCGAGCCTCCAGAGACAAGGGGAGCTGAAATCCAAGCAGAGCAGAGAGAGGCTGCGTGATAGAGTAATGAGCATGAACTTCCACAGACAGGTGCAGAGAGGCAGGTTGGGAACCTGGCCCAGGTTATGTGTGGATTGTCTCTTTGTTCAAGGGCTGAAAAACCTGTTTGAATTTTAGCAAAGAGGATTTTCAGCTCCTTAGTGGAGAGGTAGAGCAATAACGAAATGAGCATATCATCATCTCAAGGGATGAGGAAGGCCCTAGGAGACACACAAGTTTGTTTAATGACTGCAACTGCATGTGCCAGGATTGCATCCATTAAGCAAAGCGATCATGTGGGCATCTTGTTTAATGAGCACTTCACTCAACAACTGAGATTTTGGTCCCAGTTGTGGTCATAGGTTGAGGACTAACTGTAACTCAGGCAACTTCATAGTGGGCTAATCTGCCATTCTAATCAATCATCTAATTCACCCATCCTCACTCCCCACCCATGAGGGAAATAGATTGGTGACTGTTTCCTAATCAGCAAGCATAACTTGGTGGATAGGAAATGAAACAAGGGGAATCATCACTTCTTTTCCTTAAAATGGCTGCAATAGCTACATAAGGAAAGTACGATGGGCTAGTGAGAATGTAGACTGGCAAAGGCACAGCATTGCTAATGCCAACATGGTGTGTGTTGGGGGTTTTGTTTTTTGTTTTCCCCTTTAAGGACTAATGAACAGCCCTCACCTGTGAGGAAGAGCCCTGGATATACTAGACACGGGCTGCAAAATCTAAATAACCACTAGGTGGCAGCAGCAAGCTATATTTGCTGCCACTAAACCCTCATCTGAATTTTTACAGCTTAGATCCAGTAGCACCAACTGATCTACTGAGTAAAAACTACACGTTTAAGAACACTGATGATACGATTGATCATAAGAAAATAGATGCATGCAGAAAGTTTCACACGCTCCAGTAGTCACTACAGTTCCTTTCACTATACATGCAGAGTTAAGTTAAAAAGAAAGAAAAAGACTGAGGGAAAGGAAAAATCAACAGTAATCTAGGATGCAAACCTGAAGTAATCTGAGTCATAGGGAGATGGTGATCAAGCTACGGGGTTGTTACTAGAGAAATCCATCGTAACCTGATCACTGTACCCCTACAACCAGATGTGGGCTCAACTCTATTATTAAACACACTAGTGCATGCTGGCCAAGACACATTGCCACCCAAACACAACATACCCTTTAGACATTTCATTTTGTCCTTTGTGCCTGAAATATAGTAAGTGCAATTATTGATTGATCTTCAAAAATACCTGACTTAAAAAGTAAAGTTATCACTTGGCATCCTTATTCTGCAAGATGTCTGCCAAAGAACAGAATTCCATTCTGGTCTTATGCTATCAATAGTCATTTCAACAGTTCATTAAAGGTAATCTTCAGTAGATTGCACAAAAATCTCTATATGTAGGTATGAACTAAAGCTGAATTTGGAGCAATTCATATACCACTTTAGCCTGTGAAAAGTTGTCAATTGCAATGCTCTCGAGACATTGCAGTTTAAAATGTCATTTTAGCCTGAGTTGATTTTCTTCTTCTTATCTGTTATAGTTACTTTTCCTTGTGCTAAGTGTTTCACTGCTGACTGCCATTAAGGATTTCTCCTTATCATTAGAAACAATTAAATACTTTGTGATCTGTAGAATAAATCTGTATGGAATTGTAGAGTAATAGTCATCTCTCTGGGAATCTGGACTCCTTGTAAGATAATCATATTTTTTAATCATATAATACAGTGAAGAAAAAGCATTATTCTCTAAAACTAGAAGCACCATCTAAGTTTCTAATAAATGAGCATATTAATTCCAGCAATTCTTTCTGGAAACTGAGTGAAAACAACAAACAACATCCAAACTCAACAATATATCCATGATTTCAAGGCCTACCTCCATTGGCCAGCAGATTTTCCTGTACTTTATCTTTTGAATCTTCTAAAACTTCTCCAATATACTGGGCAATTTTCTTTATTACACTTCACACAAGAACAAAACAGTGACATTTTAGTTCAATTTAATTCGAGAACCATGAAATAACTTACAGCTAGATAGTAAAAAAAATCATTTTCATAGTTCCTACAATGAGAACCAATGTGTAGGCAGAAACGAGCAAATGACAGATCAACATCAATGATGGATTAACAAGAAGTTTCAATAACAAAAAAAGGGAATTGGCTATTTTTTATTTAAAGTGTGTGTTGGGTATTGTACAAAATACCTGTTGAGTTCTGGTACTAAAAATAAGAAGATACTCTTTTCTTTCATTCATTAAGTGCATGACTTCCTGTTGTTTTGTCCCCAACTCTGATGGATGGGACTAATAATTCAGTGCTAGTAAGTTCTTTATGTTACAAAGTCTGTTTCCCAACTGCTATCGTTGTCAAGAAAATAAGGTGTGGCTTGTTCCGGAAGAGGAAAAAGCACACCTGGAATCAGAGTGTGTATATATGTAGTAGCCTGAATGGAGGAAGCATTTTTGAAGCCCATGGGATCCACAGATACTCCTTTCTTTCAGGTGTGCGTTTGTGCATGTAATGGAACACTGATGTAGCAGAACTGGAAAAGTCCAAAAGCGCGTCCTCCAGAATAAACATATTTAGAAATGGACATTAACTTGCTTTTGAAGTATTAATTCTCCACCCAAATTTCCCAGGATTCTCATCTTTATTCTATACCATTTTAACTTTGGTGAGCATTTAAAAATAGGTTTGCAAGGAAAGCGGGCCATCCGAGATGGAAACCGCTCAAGAACGGATGGGTAGAGAGATCAGAATGCCACGGGCTGCTTCAAGTGACATGGAAAAATTCTCCCCCTCCTTGTGTAAATAAGTAATAAAACTGCAGGGGAAACAAGAGACCCTGAAAACTCTTGCCCCTTCCCTGCCACGCTGGTCAGAAGCAGCGCTGGCTGGTTTCTGCTGCCCAGCTAGATGTACCAGCATTTCCTGCATATGTTGATCTAATAACAGTTCCACTAACAACCTGCTTCTCTGCAAACTATAATATAAATGCTGAGTTCATTGGCATAGCTTCAGAGCAATTCCTCTTTGTCCATGGACTTCAGCATCTGTTGCCTTCATTTTTATAACACCCTAGTCTCACACACAAGTCAGTTCTTTCATCAGATGAGTTTCCCCCTCAGACTTTCGGCTTCTTCTATAAAATGATGCAGTTAATACAAATGTGGGTTGAATTCTCATGGCAGAAATCTTGCCATTATGAGGCACTTCTGCAGCTGCCCCTGCCCTTTGGAAAATCTCCCCCCCCCCCAGAGGTAAGGTGAGCTCCCCCCCCATTCTTCTGGTTTTCCGGAAATGAGTTAAGAAGTGGGTCTTCCAATTAGCATGGGGGTCTAAGAGTATGATGTAACCCTGGGGATGGCTGGTGGCTGGAGGGCACTCCTGTTGCCTCATTAACCTTTGCAGCCTTCTGAATTTTTAACTTTATTTTTTTTTAAATTTAAAAAATATTTATCTTTTCCCTTTTAACTTGTAAGCTTTAACTTGTTAACTCTGTTTTTAGCTCCGCTTTTATTCAGGTGTTTATATTGTTTTATTATGCTATTTTAAACCACCCAGAGTTACTTAGGGGAGATGGGTAATGCAGAAATTTAATTAATAATAAATAAATGAAAATGAATATCTACACGGGGAGCAGGCAGGAGATTAAATGTGCATCAGAGTGGCAACCCATTTCTTGTCATTTTGGCACCACCATAATTAGGAATGGATGTCTACGCATAGAGCAGAGTTGAATTCTTGGTGACCATAAGAGTACCGGTATTAGGAGCCTAGTCAGAAAACAGATGAATTCTGAGAAATAATGTTCCACCGAGGAGAAGCAAATCTATTTCTTAATAACAGGCCCATATGTTCTGCATTTTTTTAAAAAAAAATCCCAACCGCTAAATAAAATACACAACTTCATACTTCTAATCTTTCATACAGATGCAAGGACTAAGAAGAAAAGGGGAAAGACTCAAAGCTGCTTTTTCAAAATATAACTGGACTATGTTTTTTTTTCTCTTGAGGAAGAAGATATTTCACACTTTTCATCCAAGAAGCTTCATCAGTTCGGGCTGGATAGTGTCTCTGTGTGTGTGTATGTGTGTGTGTGTGTGAGAGAGAGAGGGGAGAGAGAGAGAGAGAGAGAGAGAGAGAGAGAGAGAGAGAGAGAGAGAGAGAGAGAGAGAGAGAGAGAGAGAGAGAGAGAAATGGAAGGATTAGGATTAATCCTTCCATCACCCACCACTATCCAGTCAGAACTGATGAAGCTTCTTGGATGAGAAGCAAAACATATTTTTCCTCAAGGGGAAAAAAACAACACCACCATAATCCAGTTGACTTGAAAAAGCACCTTTGAGATAACCATGACCTGGATGACTGAGAATCTCCATAGACAAAAGGGGGAAGAGAATTGGAAAGTGGGCATTCAGAAAAAGAAATGAGAGAAAGTAGGATTTCTTATCTGCCTTGCCCATTTGACTCTGCTTTTCATTGTAAAAAGGGAAAAGGACTGGGGAGCATCCTATCCACCCTTCCCCCCCCAAAAAAAATCCAACTTTTGTTCTAGGCTGCCAAATCTCACTATAGTGTTTCAAATATATATTTCATTTTCACCCCTATATTTTATTTCCCAGATTCTGTGCTAATGCATCTTGGTAGTCCTGTGTCTCTTAGTGGCAGTTATTACCAGTGTTATTACTGAACACTGAAGACTTGGGAGGGGGGCAGATTTAGCAATAGATGGACATTTTTGCCAAATAAAACTGAATAGAGCTATTTCAATATTCTTAAAAGCATCCATAGTGCTTCTGCAAAAAAAATGCTATTTCCCCCATATTTCCCATTACTATGAGCCCGATTCATATCTGTAAAGGCTTCTCAGAATAATTGTATAGAATAGAATGATGAAGAGGGCAGGGACCATTTTTCACAGGGACTTTGCTGATTACTTGGGGCGAAGGCTGTGTCCCTAGATCCAAACATATTGGATTCAAAATAAAACACAGGAGTTTGGACCCAACTCTTCTTTAAACAGAATAAAACCAAACCTGCCTGATCTGGCTGACTTCTAAGGCCAAGCTTAAACAAGTCAGAGTTGGGTTCAGGCAGGAATCCTGTGACCTGGAGAAACAACATGCAGTTGTCTTTGTGTGCAGTAAATAAGTTCTATTTTACCTTTCAGCAAAACTATCGAGTTTTCCCAACTCATCTGAGAGGCCAACCAGTGTGTCCAGAGTTCCTACCTGTGGAAGGGAACACAAATACTTTAACATAAACAGAAGAGCTGCACGACTGTTTTGCCAGAATGATCTTTTTTATTATTTTTGGCCTGGATGTCCTTTTGTGCAATCAAAGTATTAAGGACACTTGGAGGAAGCCAAAGTCAATCAGAGAGAATATTTTCTCTCAATAGAAAATGACTGAAATGCCTCTTCTTCTATTCTAAAGAAGGAAACACTGCATATCATCATGTGATTATAAACCCACTTCTACAAGACTTCTTCCCTATTTTTATTATTGGTGTTCCTCAACAGCTTTATTACTCACAGTATATTGTATATGCAATCATAAGGCACTGAACAGAACATTTATTTTCCTCACAAACTTCAGTAAGAAGAAACATTTCTTCTTTAAAATGAGAGAGCCTTACCTTATTTATATATAATGTGGGCAGAAAGCAGTTGCAGTAAATAAATTCCTTGCATCTCTTCTTGAAATTATTACACTTTAAGATACTGACAGTATCTTACCAATAGTGAAGGTGATTTTTCAGGTACCAGCCAGCACTTCTATCATAGTCATATTATTAATCCCTGTATTTTTTTTTTACATCTCGTACTCTAACCAAAATAAACTAACTTGTTAGTGCAGGATGTTATTGAAGAAGTAATTTAATAAGTTGAAGTTCTGTCAATTAAATTATGATAAAGTCTACATAGCATGAATATTGAAATAACTAACCTATTTTGAATAGAAATGCTAACAGCATTAGTACAAATTATGATTTTTTAATCAGTTATGGTAAAATATGACACAATGACATTGCATGCATGTTATAATTCCCACTCACCCCCTTTTCTTTATAGACACCCGTTAAAATGTGATGAATCTCCATTCAAATGAAATGTATGGTTCCTTAGGACTAAGTCTCATTGAATTCATTCGGATTTAGTTTATTAATGCTACAATTGCATTTATGTTTATTTGTGAGTAAATCTTACTTAATTCGTCTCTGTACAAGGCTATCTATGGCAGAGCTCCCCTTCGATTTAATTGGAATCGTGACCATTAAGGATGCTCATAGATTGTCTAGCTAAAGTTCTTTGAGATTTTCTGAAAACGACAGGCTTGAGTAGAACCAAATTAAACCTCCAGGTTTTTCGGCTAGTAATTAACCCACTGATTGATAATAATGGCGCATAGAATTCAAGCACTTCAGAAAGCTACAGAATGAAATATATTATTCAGACTAATTTTCCTTGTATGGAGACCCACTCTACTAAAAAAGAAGAAGAAATATGCTTGATCCCTGCCCTGTTCTTGTCTTGTTCTTCCTTCTCCCCCCTCCCCTTCTAACTTTTCATCCACCTTTTACCTTGAGGTCAGGAATGGCGAACTTGCTGTTGCTGGATAGGTTGGCTTTCGAAGTCACGGTGTTCATTCTGTCCCAGGCAAGCAAATTTGTCTTATCCCCTGGAGCTGAGATTAGCCAGAACTCTGACATGGTAGAAAAGGATCCCTGCGTACAAATCACTACAACTAAAGAAGGGGGGGGGACACAAAAAACACAAAAATAGATCAGCTAAACCTTTAAATCCATTTAAAAAAAATAAAAAGTTATTGGTATTTCAATCCATACAGGGAAACTTCTATCACCTTTCAATTCAAATCTAAAATTAAATGTGACCTTCTCTTCAAAGTCACCAACAGGCAAGTAGTTCCTTTTTTTTTCCCCTCCCTGCCTGGATTGTTTCATCTGGTTAGTAGGGAGGAGTTTTCAATTGCAAGGGTGCTGGAACATGGGACAATTCACAATTATCTGCAGAAGTAATAGGCTGATCTGTTCATAATTCCAATGCAAGAAACATTATCTGAGAAGAAATCTTAAGGCCTTTTTTTCCATACTTGGCAACTTTACGATATATGGATCTCATCTCCCAGAATTCCCCAGCCAGCATGCTTAGAATATATATTCTAGAAGTTTTTGTCCTTCGCCTTTATATTAGAAGTATCAAAACAAGTGACAAAAATCAACTTCATTGTAAAAATCTAAATGACAGACAGTTAATATATATTTGTTGCCATCCTGTTCAGAAATATTAGAACAATGAAATGTATATATAAAATTACTAAGGCATTATGAGAAATAATGCAGAGGAAGCAGTTTTCTCCTGCATTTCATATATGAGCATCTATGATAATTTTATCAGTTTTAAAAAAGATAAATATTATCTACAATGAGCTTGACTCCTGGTTATTAGATGGATGCATCTATGTTCATCGTAAGGTGTTTGCCACAGCTGTCTTTTGGGAAACTTTCAGTTTTCCAACCTAGCCTTCAGCCCTGGGATTTCCTAGTGGTCTTCTATCTTTTCCGTAATCAGCTCCCTCCCTGCGTAGTTTTTTCAGAGAAAGCCAGGTTAGTTAAAGGCTGCCATCTGCAGAAACTGCCTGCTATCATTAGGGACAAATGAGTGTGGTTGATCCTATGTAGCCATCCTTTAAGCCAGAAAGATCATTCAGAAATGGAAACCATAATGAAACGAAGGGGAAACGGTTGGCTATAGCTTTAATAGGTGTAAAAAGGGATCATAATCAACGTTCTTCAATTCTCCCTTCATCATTTAATCTTTAATTTATCTAGTAGTGGGCCTTCGAATATTGATTCCAAGGCAAAACTGACCCCTTTCTAAAATGGCCTGGGATGGATTCATGCCTTTTGCCTTTCAAACACAAAACAACCAAAGCATCCTAAAAATATCACAAACTAGGCTTGCTTTCAGTTTTATTGGGATAACTTACGTCTACTTGGATGTTGAAAGTAGCTCACAACGGCTCGGCGAAAATGCCTTTCCCATCACTCCTAACTGCTTTTAGAAACAGAAGGGACGTAAACGGCCAAGCTCAACGACTAACAAATAGCGCATTCTATTCCCAAGACGCAGCGCCGACATCCGAGTGGAATAAAATGGACCGAGCAGTAGAAAACTCCCCCGAGGCCGATCCGATCCCATCATTTCTCTTTTAAGTGTTTCGGGTCTCTTTTCGAAGCCAGCGATGCAGCGCGCGCCCCCTCCCAGCCGGAGCTTCGCAGTAGCGCAGCAACCGGCCTCTCTAAGGAGGCGGTGGGAAAACTTTCCCACCGCTTTACTTACCCCACGTCCTCGGGAGACACCACAGGTGCTGCTCACCGTGTAGCGGCGGCCCCTTCCATTGCCGGCAGCAGGCGCAGCTCCGAGAGACGCCGGAAGGGGAGGAATGGACTTTGCAGGGTGCGGAGCCACCCGCACCTGAACCGCCACCGGCTGCGGCTTCGCCTTTTGCTGGAGGGAGGAGAGACCCATCCTGCCGCTTTCCTCTGGCCAGTGGCGCTTGCCGAAGCTCCTCCTTGGCCTCCCCCTTCCAGCCTTTGCGTGGTTCAGATCTCGAGGTGCCTGACAGGGATGGACGGTTCCTCAGGGAAGTCCCGTCCTCCGTCAGACGATGGAGGCGCGTACACACCCAAACAGGGAAGCTTTAGAACTTTTTCCAGGGCTGGCCCGCCCTTCCTTCCTTCCTTCCTTCCTTCCTTCCTTCCTTCCTTCCTTCCTTCCATCATTGCCAGTCTCAGAGGTGCCACCAAGCCATTTTGGTATATGGCTGAGATTGGTTGCTTCTTGTGAATTTTCAAAAGATCTGAGGCGCATATGAAGTAATAACCTAGATTTTTCTAAATTGCACCTAAAAAATAAGCATTGGACTAAGTCCAATCTATCTTTCTGTAACCATGGTTCTCTGTCTTTGAAAACAGACAGAGATAATAATAAACATTGGGTTTGTACATGGAAATGGAACTATGAAAACTCTCAGCCCTCTATTATTCATATACTATGGGGCCTCTTCTACTTTCTCCCATAGAAGAGCCAAAATATACCCTGGTGGCTTCTCTGTTCTATCCCATTTCTAAAATGTGACCTTTTTTCATCCCTGGTCAAAAGAGATAGACTTCCCATAGTTAATTTTGCCCTCCTTCAAATAATGGTTTCCCTTCTGAAGCAAATTAGCTTTGCTTACTCTATCTGGCTGATAATTGAAACTGTATCATATGATATGAATTACAGTCCATTTTAAAATGAGGCCTGGATACATTTATTAATTTTTAAAGCAGCACAAGATTTTAATAGAGAGAAAGGATATCACTTGTCTCTAGACAGCAGCCAGCAATTTGTTTAATTGTATTCCTGTTTTGATTTCAGTTTGTAAGCCACTCGATTTCCAAAGATTCTCAGCAGTTTACCACACTGGCACAAGGTGGATTGAAATTAGCATCAGGGTTAATGCATATAATAAGAGTGCACCCAACTCAGAGGGCCATCATTTGAGAGGACCAAGGTCTTCTTATCTCTGAATGCCTTCCTGACTTTGGAAATTTAAAATGGAGAGAATGGCCTAATTGTCTGGGAAGGGGTATCACTGCACTCCATTGAATATGGGATTATAAAATTATAAAATCCATATTATGATATAGATGATGGAGTTCAGTTGTATCCACTTCCACTCTGAAGAAGTGAGCAGCATGGCTAGTGAAACAACAATGCGTATTCATTGTCTTACAAGGCATTTCCTAGAAATTATCTCCTCAATGCTGAAATATTAGGGCTCTCTCCTGGTTCCCTGGAAAGAGAGAGTTATTGAATCTTGATTTCTGGTTGCAGTGGGCCAACATTTCCAGCACAGGTAGAAAAGGAAAATAATTGGCCTATGTCCCAGCCTCCAAGGCTTTTGTTGTTACACAGAGAAACAGGACTTTAACATTACAAATATGTGTGTGTGTGTGTGTGCACGCATATTTATAATGCCTCTACTATCTAGAAATCCTGTTGAATTCAAAAGGTCCTGCAATATATTAAGGAAAGGTGAAGGGAGGAGTCTGCTGTAGGAAAAATGACAATTCATCACATTCAGGACATGATCCAATGGTGTTTTGAAAGAAAGAAACAACTTTAAAAGGCAACCTGTACATGTCAAAATACATATATGATGATAAAGTTGTTTTGGCATTAACATTTTAATTCTATAACAATGGTGTCAAATGAACTATTAGTCAAAGAGAGAGAATCTAACCTATATTTAGATATAGTGCCATCAATTTCAGTAGATTTTTAAAAGTAAGGAAGCCTCAAATTAAGTTAGTCTCTCTCTCTCCCCCCCCTTTGTGTGTGTGTGGGGGGGCAAGGTTTTTCAGAAGTGGCTTGCCATTACCTGCTTCCTAGAACTGAGAGAAAAGAACTGGCCTAAGGTCCCTCAACTGGCTTTGTGCCTAAGGTGGGACTAGATGAACAAATTCATATAGCAATGTTATAGAAGTGTTTTGTCATTACTTTCTTCAGATCATTATTTGTGTGCCAATATAGGCCATAGTGCTGTTATTATCATAAATTATTGCAAAGAATCAATTGATTTTGGTTTTAAAAAATCCATAAGATGCAATCTATCAGCATATAATAAGAGTTAGCTGTCACTGTTGTACCTGAAATGCCTAATTTATTATTTTATTTGTGTAATTTGGATCAAATTAAAAATAAGAGGTCATCTTGACATCATATGATTGTCCCCTCACAAAATAAGATTCTGTGAGGGGAAAAACATATAATTCCAGTTGTAAATTCCAAGAAAATAGAGCAGTATATTGCTCAATTATTGATCTAAGTAATAAAAAAGAGGAAATCCACATTTAAGTAAAACTTATTTCAGAAATTTTTGATCAAAGGGTTTTGCACACCCAGTGAAACTAACACCATTGATTTCAATTTTTGTGAATGTATATTCATCCCAAATAATAATCTATGACCAAAGGATTGGTGACATTTACAAAAGCAGATAGTGATTTTTTTTTTAAAAAAAATAAAGACTGTATATGCTATTCTGATCTAATGACTCTGCATGGATAATCTGCTTGGAAATAATATCTGTATGCTGTTTGCCAGTTTTGATATCAATATTTTTGTGTTGATGTGCTGACTTCATGCCCAGACTAGCAATAAATCTACAGACACTTCACCGCATATTTCTGCAACTTGATTATAAACAGAAACTTCAGATGATATGGCTAAATAAGTTGTTTTCTTCCAGAAAAATCAGAAATCATAGACGATTTGACTATTGCTGTATACAAAATCATCTGTCTATATGTTTCATCCAATATTTAAATTCCAGGTCATTTCTTCAACCTTTCAATTCAAGTGAAATTGAGCATCAAGGTCTGGGAGACATCTGTTTAATAAAGATTCAGTGCAGCCTGAAAACCAGTGGTTCCCAGTTTACCAATTTCAGTTCTTTCAGTTCTTATTTAGTAATCAATTTCACTATTTATTTCAACCAGGGATTAGGCTTGTTTTGATACTTAGATGTAGTTGTTGTCCTGCAGAATGACTTTTGCCTAGAATACAGCCTTGTTGATTTGCCTGGATATTTCAGTTTATTGCAATGTAATTTTTGTGTGGTTGCTTTTAACATGCTCTAGAATATTCATTTATTGTATTTATATTATTCTAATTTATATTAGAAAGGAACACAAACATACATTATGATGACCCACTTCTAAAATAAAGAATAGACAAAAATAATCTATTTAAATGGAGACAAAGATCCTCTCTAGGGCTAGCTCCCAATATTATGAATTTAGATATAGTAACAACAGTTAAAACATTAGTTAAAATCAGTTTTTAGCTGATATTAATATATCTAAATTCATAATGTGAACAGTTATTTCTTAATTTCAAGTAAACATACAAACGAGACACACTTGCACATCATCTATGTGTATGTGCCCATATGCCAGTCACAAACTCTACATTAGAAGAAAAAAAATAATTGAATAAGTACTGATCAACATTAACTGCTTAAAATCAATCCCCCAGATATATATCCTAACTATTCTCTTTCATATATGAAATACATTCATGGATAAATATACATACTCATTGCAGCAAGGGAAGTGATTGTAATAGGATGTTACCACATAATTGGTCAGCTTAATATGATTTTTTCACTGGTTCTATTTGATTTCTGGTCACAATTCTAGTGCTGATTTTAATTCATCAAGCTCTTTGTAGCTTGAGATCAGAGTACCTGGGGGGGGGACACCTCTTTGTACTTCTGTGTACACCCTAATTTCATTTCAGTTTTGCTCTGGGAACTCTCTGGTGTTGAAGATAGCAGCGGAAGGGCTGTTTCAATGGTAGCTCCTCTTATTCCAGAATGGCTTTCCAAAAAGATATGCTTAGCAACTAGCAAAGATGGTTACAGTATATCTTCCAAGACTTTTAATATATTTCTGCTAATTTCAAAGGTACGTTGTTGACTTACAACCATTTGTTTATTGATCATTTGAAGTTACAACAGCAGAGAAAAGCAATTTATGAATGGTTTTCACACCAACCAACATTGCAGCCTCATGGTCACATGATCAAAATTCAAGCACTTGGCAACCGGCATGTATTTATGACAGTTGCATTTTCCTGGGGTCATATGATCACATTTGTAACCTGGCTTCCAACAAAGCAAAGTCAATAGAGGAAGTCAGATTTGCTTAATGACCACATGATTCATTTAACAACTTCAATGATTCACTTAACAACTGTGGTGAAAAGGTTTGTAAAATGAGGCACAACTCACTTAGCAACTGCCTTGATTAGCAACAGACATTTGGGACTCAATTATGGTCAAAAGCTGAGGACTGACTTTATATGCTACCTACAAATTTTACAAAACTGCTTAACAAACTATCCTGGCTGCTGCTATTATTGTCTACTGTAGAGGTTTGTTTGATTACCATTGTAGAAGCAGACTTTAAATCTGTCATTTGCAGTTGGCTAGTTCAAAGGACAGATGAAGACTCAAAGAGTTAAACATCCACCTTTTTTCTCAGATACGGACTTTCACATCTTTAGAAAAGGTAGTTTTACCCCAGTACCTCTGGGGAAATTGAGCAAAAAGTGGTGTGGTACAATGGAAAGTAGAAAGCCACCACTATACTCCTCCAGAATGAAATGGAATTTCCTGGAAAACACAATTTCCAAGGAACGGCATGGCAACCAAGACCAAGCACCTCTGGCTTTCTTTCTTGCTCTTTTTGGGGATGGGGGTTGCTGGGGCCCTCATTCAGCCCAAGGAAAAACTTGGGTATAAAGACCAACTGGCACAGAAGAACACATCTGAGGCCACATTCAGCAGGGAAGAAGGAAGAGTGGGAACTTGGCCCTGCTTTGCCAGAAAGCCGCCACAAAGAGGAGGGGTTTAATTTATTTTCCAAAGCACCAGAGGGCAGGACAAGAAAAAATGGATGGAAACTAATCAAGAAGCAACCTGGAATTAAGGAGAAACTTCCTAACAGTGAGGACAACTAACCAGTGGAACAGCTTTTGCCTTCAGAAGTTGTGGCTGCTTCAACACTGGAAGTTTTTAAGAAG